TTGCCTGACGCAAACACGATATATAACTGTTATATAGATAGCATATTGCTCAATGAGGTGTTAAACCCAAAACGTACTCGACTGAAACTAAGTACAGAACGAATCTGTGGAAAAGACCTCTCATTCCTTTACTACAATAACACTGATTGTGATCATTCACCCCACACTAAACTGAGTTAGTTGCCTCAGTTTCAGGTCGTCTTTGAGATGACAATAAAACAACGATGGGGAAACATTGCCCTGGATGACGTCACAGTGTCGGAAAAGTGTTGTTAGAAATATATGCTCCCTATGGTGAAATAAATACAAGGAATTTGTGTAACGTTCTTTGGCTTCATTAAGGACCGCTTCCGTGGTCTAGTGGTTCGAACGTCTGCCCGGCCGCGGATAGCGGAAGGTCGTGGGTACAATCCCCGGCCGCGTCATACCAAACGACGTTGAAAGATGGTACTTGTTGTTACCCTTTCTTGCGCTTTCAAGGACTGGTCGGCTCGGAGTCAGTATACTATGTCTGAGTGGCGCATTCATGTTAAACTGCGGCACGGTATCTCAGTGGGCTAGCACTTTACAATCGGTATAAGTTGCGGACACGCACACACACGCACACACACACACACACACACACACAAAATTCTTGAACGCGACGTTAAACCCAATTACACCTCTCCCCACCTTTGCATAGTAATAATAATAATAATGATAATAATAATATGCGAGAATAATGGATGACGTTATATAACTTCAACTGACCAATCAACACTGAGAATCGCTAAAATATGAATTGTTACATGCGTGCAAATATCGGTAACGTATCCACTCTCTACACGTTCTACCCTTACAGGTAAAATGTGGAGGATAGTGTTTGAGGCAGCAGTCGGCAATATTCCTGGCCCATACTTTAATACAGGCTTATGATTGTCGTAGAGCTAAGATCGCTTTGTGCAACGGAGCCCAGCTCTCGTCCAGACAAACCAGTGGCTGATAGCATGACGACCAGGGGTATGATGACACGCAATCAGCCAAGTCACTGAGCCATGTCCTCCCTCCAAATCGTACCTGTTTAGGTTACTTGCATTAATTCTAATCCGAAATCCACGAAAGTTGAGGCATTCGGTGTATTTTTATTAATTTTTATCGACAAATTTATTGCAATGCTATACCGAAATATCAAATAATTTTTTGTGTAAAATTTGAACATTTGGGGACTAGTCATTTATCATAAGAATGTTACATGTATTTGGGGAAGCCATGAATAAATGTAACAGAAAATGGGAGAAGGTTGACAAAATGTGATACAGTGCGAAGACGAATCTCTCCCCAACACCTAACACCCAACACCCACCCACCAAATACATGACTCGTCCCTAAACGTGGAAAAGGTGGACACATCGTAAACCCGCATAGTGGATCATTCCATTAACGCATCGCATCGCGGTCAATTCTTCAAAATAAATATGTCAACAATAACTTCACAGACTGATTACTTCTCCATTGACGACGATGCAAAATCCGTGGCATCGTTCAGAGCAATAATGCAACACAAGCCCCGCCCATTCTAATATGAGCCAATCAGGAAACAGTAGAAACTTGGTGTTTTTGTTTGTTTGTTTGTTTGTTGTTTAACGCCACACTCAGCAACATTTCAGCTTTATGACGGCGATCTGTAAACGATCGAGTCTGGACCAGACAATACAGCGATTGACATCATGAGCAGCTGTAGCAGTTTAGTGAATGTCTTTTACGAGTCAACAAACACATACTACGGGGTTGAGGTCTTTATTGCAATGCGATGAGTGTCATCAAGGATCTAGATATCATACACCCTGAAACACATAATTACACAATAAATAATAAGTAAAACATTATCATTAATGCTAGATACATAGCATAGGCTTTTTACAAGTAAGTATTTACATATATCAGTCATCCATTAAACACAAGATAGACTGAACCTTAAACGATTATACTAGAACATATACAGTATGTACATGATCAACAATACCGACATTCAAGGGAGATAACTCCTTGACTTTCTTTTGACTATAATATATACACAATATATATACATAACGCTTACACATTCTGCATAAATATACAATACTTTAAGACAGAAATTAATGATATAATCTTACATTAAATGTGGTCATCACAATTAGATTACATTGTAAGTCTTAGACAAATATAAATAACACAATGCATACCCTGTGGGTGATACAAGGGTGTGGATCCCAACTGCCACACGTATGGCAACACCATAGATTATCTGAATAAACAATACATAGACTAAAACACTATTTAACATTTAATCTATTGAACAAAGTAATACACACATTTTATTTACAATGATTTGCATGTATCACATCTGAATCTGTACATTACAAAGCTTTTTAAAACACTCTTGAAGTGAAACACTTTCACACATATTTCATTGAAGTGATAGAATACATTTTAGTGATAAAGTATGGGTGTTTAGCTTATCTTAGGCAGATTTAAATATTTAGACATAATCAACATTTCGGTTAGATTACATGCATTTAGTTTACTTCATATAACACTTTAAACAAACTGTATTATTTCAATACAACACAAGATAGAGATTATAACCATTTAACCCACCTGATTTAATATTATCTCTTTATGCTTTGCTGGTCTGAGCAGTTCTGTCAGTTCATGTGCTGAGAGAGTATGCAGTGTAATTAAAGCATGCAGTTTAACAATAGGTGTTAGCTTGGCCAATCAGCAAATGAAGCTTCTGGCCACGGGGCAGTTAGTAGGTAAGACATAAGACAGGTCAGATTCACTTTGTTATAGCTGACTGAAACTGACAACTAGTTATATATGATAAATAAACGTAAAAACCTAAAATGAAATTAAAACAAATATATACAAAAACTACATCGGCCACACAACGATCCACGCAATTGGGATACGATGACATGCATCCACCAAGTCAGCGAGCCTGACCACCCGATCATGTTAGTCGCCTCTAACGACAAGCATACTCGCCTTTTACGGCAAGCATGGGTTGTTGAAGACCTATTCTACGCCGGATCTTGCACAACTTAGTGTCCGTGGCCTATTTATTTCGGTTTATGGGAAAACAACAACACAAAAATAATTGCTTCGTTAGCAACGGAAACACTTGCATTTATTTATTTATTTACGTAGAAATATATCAACAAGTCATTTCAGTGAGTGAGTGAGTGAATACCGCAGGGGGCGTTACAGCTAAAGCAAGACATCATGTCAGTAACTGAGCTCGTTCAGTCTAACCAGTCGTTGATAGTCTGAGCACCTGCGCTGGTATCGAGTTACAGTAGTTTAACCAGCCAGCGATATTCCAACTTTAAAACTCTGAGACCTGCATCACGTCTGACTTTCCTCCCACATCAAACTGACACGCTCTGATATGACTAGAATACTGTTCAAAGCGGCGTTTAACCAAACTCCCATTTTAACCATCAAATCAAGACACAGCCTGGTTCCATCAAGAGAGAAACCAGGGAGTACCCACACCAATTACGATGCCAGCGATAGTCCAACTTTACCTCGGCGGCCTTCAAATACCCTGAACCACTTAAACAATCGGGAACAAAATAAGCTGATCTCCAGAGTCTGTCCATCCGATCCCCACTGTGTTCGGGATCCTGGGATCATTCAGACTTGGGGTGCCAACAAGGGCAACGTTTTATAACAGTCCGTCCCGGAATTCCTAAAATGTTAAGACGTAAAACCGCGAGGTGGGATTACCATGGCAACGTGAGGTGATCCAGTGTGATAAGTACAAACCTGCAATCCCTCATTTCACGTGACAAAGCTTCGCGCCTCTATCATACTTTACTTATTATCGTTTCCCAACTGCGTAGATCGATGCTCATGATGTCAATCACTGGATTGTATGGCCCATACTCGGCTGTTTTCAGACCGCTGTCATATAGCTGGAATATTGCTTAGCTCGGCGTTAAAGAACAATTAAACAAAATTTAAATTATTCCCCGCCACGAAGATTATGGAGATCAGATATATTTCAACTATAAGCTGCAAAACCAGTTATTATTTAAGTAAAGCTATGAGCCTGAATACTTTGTAAGAAAAATGTATTTTTTGTGGCAGAAGTTTTTCCAACAGTCTGAAATTAGTTGGTCGGTTCCTTAGCGGCATAGTTAAATAGCATACACAAGGCACAATTACATAGGCATCGGAAGGTCGGTGGTTCGATCCCTGACCGCGTTAGTCCAAAAGGCGTTAAAAGATGGTCTTTGCGCTATGTACGATATCAACCCTAAATGTATAAAAAATAATGTTACATAAACGGTTACAGGTTGTTACTCTTAATGTTAAAAAACATACATTAAGTGTTAACACGTAACTCTTATTGTAAAAAAGCTTCACATTGAGAGTATTTTTTACATTAAGGGTTGTAACAGCTGTATCTAGCTTAAACAGCAGCAGAATTTCAGTGGGCTAGAACTATCTCACATCACAGAAGCAACGACATACGTGAGCGGAGCGCATGCAAGCCAATTTCATTTGATTTTCATGATTAATAAACCAAATGCGTGCAGCACGTGCTTCTATATACCTTCACGCGTGGTTGAAATTGGCGTCCGGGGTTAGGATCAGCTCACTTTTTAACGGGGTGCTGGTTTGACATAGACGTTTGTAATTAATTTCTGATTTGTTTCATCTTTCCGAAAAAATGTCGTTTTGAAATGAGTTCAAGGACAACCATGCTGTCGTGAATAAAACAATACTTATACATGCCATTGGCTTGAAAAGTAAGGCATGTGAGGAAGAACCCCTTACGTTTTGTCTCCTCCACCCTTGAACCCAACCCCAACAAGACCTCTTCTCGAACGTGAAAACCATGCCACGAACAATCCTTGCAAAATCAATATAGATCATCCTGCTCGTACAACATCGGCTTGGGTGCGTGCATTTCGAGGCGACAAGCCAATCAATCCGGCAAATTGTTATATAACACACCACAATGACTTAGGTGAGATCAGTGACTTCAATTTTCTCTCAAACCGAAGACTGTTGAGGCTTGAAACTGACGGTTTAAGACGGCAAGATGGATGAATCAAGTCTCTGTTTGAAGCTTCATCTTTTGCAAGTATTGACTGTCATTATCCTCCCGAATGTAAGTAATACTATGTATATATATATATAGAGAGAGAGAGAGAGAACTATGGGAAAGACTTCTGCCCGTATCCCCCCTCCAAAAGTTATATATGTATGCATTGCCGCGCAATCCTTTTAATGATATACATATGTTTTAGGGGGTATGGGCGGAAGTCTTACCCCTTGGTTCTAAGAGCGATCGACGGTTTGATTCATGTTGTCAACGTGCGTCGTCTTAGATACCCCTCTCATTTCATACTGTTCACTATACTCGCGACCTGTGAATATCCGGGGTAGAATAGGCCTTCAGCAACCCATTCTTGCTGTAAAAGGCGACTGCTCGTGGTAAGAGGCAACTAACGCGATTGGATGGTCAGGCTCGCTGCCTTGGTTGATACATGTCATCGATCCCAATTGCGTGGATCGAAATTCATGATATCAATCGTTGTATTGTCTGGTCCAGACTCGATTATCTACGGCCCGGCGTCATTTTGCTGGAATAACGCTGAATGCGGCGTTTCAACAACAAACCCTCACTTTACTAGCTTACATGTCTCATTGCCAGCGTCAATACATCACATTTGTCATACTCTACGTTTCTCCATCGCCCGTGAATACACGAACACTGGAATCTGTTTCGACTGATCATCGAGACTGCGTATTCTCTGGCGCCGACGTTATATATTCTGTTCAATACCTTCTCCATCACCCGTGAATACATCCAACCGTTTTGCAGTGCAGTCGTTATTTTTAATCAACAAGGGGTCACGGGTGGCCTTATAATTGGGCACGCCAGAAACCTATGATCCTGATTCGAGTCCAGGTTCGCCCCGATTATGTTTCTAGGTTTGTCGGTACCATACCCGTGCTCGTGGGTTTCACCAAAGTAGTAAACCTCTGAGACCTGCATCCCTTCGGGCTTTCCTCCCATTTTAAGCTGACACGCTGTGATGTAACTAGAATACTGTTCAAAGCGGCGTTAAACCCAACTCTCATTTTAACCAACAAATCAAGACACAGCCTGGTTCCATCGAGAGGGAACCCAACGAGCACCCACATCAATAACATGTACATCCCACATACGGCAATATTTCTCATACAGAATGGGCGGTCGGGTAGCCTAGTGGTTGAAGCGTTCGCTCGTCACGCAGAAGACCCGGGTTCGATTCCCATTTCTGAATTCCCATTGAAGCCCATTTCTGGTGTCCCCCGCCGTGATATTGCTGGAATATTGCTAAAAGCGGCTTAAAACCATGCTCACTCGCTCTCATACAAAAAGAGCAAAAATCTGCTCAACTCATTGCTTCAAAATAAGGCAGCGGTACTGTTCGTAAAATTTCATTTGACTTCCGTGAGTTATCAACGGCCTCATTTCATTGGCAGACTATAAATAGACATACTTCAGTAACAACACCGCCAAGTTGTATATCGGGAGATGGAGGGGCGTGTTTTATACAAAGCCTCAAAGTATTGGCGAGGGTATCTGGAAACAGAACAGCTATTCAGCACAACATATCTCGTCCTCAATCTCCAGGGTTTGCAGTGTGGTAAATCTCTTACCCCTGGATCCATTCCCGTGGTTCTCATGATCTGTTCTTATATCACCCGCCTTCGATATACATTAACATTTACCGACCAATCAAACGTCGAGATTGGGACAAGGGAATGGCGACCCACAGTTTATATAGACATTGAGACATCCTTTCCATCAAAAAGATTTTAGGGCTTATTTTGTTCGTCAGTCATTCTTTCAACGTTGAATTTCTTTCAAACTCTGTCGTACTTACTGATACTAGGGGTGTCATGATAAATTGAAATATCTATATATTGCTATTGGTTAGCACTTAAAGTCAATAAATCGATTGTTAAATCGGTTTCCGATCAATATTATCGATTTCAGTTAGGAATATCGGTAGTTTTGATTGTATTTACCATAGTTTTACAGTTTCTATAAAATACATGCAATGCTGTTCAAATTTGTTTTTCTATTGACATGAGTGGTAGTAATTTACACATGGTAATGTGGAAGTTTCTCTTTCTTAAATTATGAGGGTAAAGAAAAAACAAACCTGTCATATCTCAAACATTACTTTGTTATGGTCATCACATTCAAAGGAAACTCAGTTCCAAGGTTTGATTCAACTCTAAAATCTATCTGAAATGATACACTGAAAACTATCGATATTTATCGCACCAGTTGCTTCCACTATCAATAGTTATTGCAATAGTTTCTTTCAATATTAATAGTTATCGCAATAGTGATTTCCAGACCAATAGTCACCCCTAACTGATACTGACCGCCATGTTTTTGATATCGCCAACCCAGGATTGAGAATGGTTTGTAACTCGCATTCTGATTGGTCCGTTAGACTAAATAGCGTAGTAAATATAATTGGCTAATGATATAGATGATGATGATGACAATATCTGTAACCATGACATGTTCTTTTCAGTGTTACCAGTCTGAGGATGTTGCCCGCCATTTCGGCAGATTTATTGATGTAGAGGACGGAAAGACCTACCAAGTAAGTTTTGCCTTTAAACATTACCAGGGAAAAGGCTAGACTTATCAGGTCCTGTATGCACTAAACGCAAAACTAAAGACTTTCCATGAGTAAGATCCGGTAGAAAGAAAGATCTTCATCAACCCATGCTTGTCGTAAAAGGCGACTAACGGGATCGGGTGGTCAGGCTCGCTGACTTGGTTGATGCATGTCATTGTATCCCTGTTGCTTAGATCGATGCTCATGATGTCAATCCTGAATTGTCTGATCCAGACTCGATTATTTGCAGACCGCTGTCATATAGCTGGAATATTGCTGAGTGGGGCGTTAAACAACAAACAAACAAACACTGGTTTCATCTTTTATTGCAGTCCTTTCTGTACGATCTCCTGAGCCAGGAACCTGAAGACGAGAACCTCCTCCACCCTGTGAGGAACACCGTCGACGGCGATCTCCTTCTTACTCCAGAACAAAAGGAACAGTTCCTTCAAGACAACAAGGTATCTAGTTCTACCCATATCTATATCTTTTTAAAATTATTTTTATTATTATATTCAGAATAAATAAATAAATAAAAAAATAAAAAAATAAATGCAGACACGAGGGTTTTGGTGATCCAGGCTGATTATTATCTATTATTTTATTTATTATTTATTTATTTTATTATTATTGTTATTATTGTTATTATTGCCAATTCCACACCCCAAATCATGCCAAAAGGGCTACATCATTACCCCGGTCTTTGGATCGATTTTCATTGTCAGCACCCTCGGGGTTACCGTGAGGCGTCAGGTCAAGTCTTTCATCCTACCGGGTACCCATTCACTGCTGGTGACTGAGAATGTTATATATTCATGTGCCTCTTTTCAACCTGCTGCAGGCAAAGAGGAAAATCCTAAGTAATGAGTACTTTCGGTGGCCCAAAGGGATTGTGCTATGGCGGTTTGCGACTGGAAGAAGAGCATTCAGTGAGTATCTTAATATAATTCAGTTCAAGTCAAAACATTGAATTACATTTAGTATACATTTAATAATAACAGTTTTTTAAAACATTTTTATTATTAATAATAACATAGTTTATGGAGAGAAACAGAGCAGACATACATTTGTGCAAGAAAGGGGATTGTCGGATTGTCTCAAGATGTATCCAGTTTACAGTGAAATATTTAATATGGGTAATTTAATCGGAATATAAAAAGGAAATACACAAAGGATTGTATACGCTATGTTTCTCCACACACACAAAATAATTGTGATATTCTGAATATGAATCGCCATTCGTTTTGGTGTTTGCCCGAAGCATTACCGCAGTAAATTGGGGTGTACGAAATTGTGGACTTTTTATCCCAGTTCTGGCAATCACAGGCGCCTCAATTCGTGACCACACGGGTCACGAAAAGGTTTTTGCTTGTGACGGAAAGGGTTGATTAGTGACGAATGTGGCTCCTTGTGTCCCCAGTTCTATTCGTGAACCTAAAAGATGCTTAGTCGGCCTTGGACTAACACAAGCGTGTCTCAATTCGAGACAAGTCTTATGGGTGAATAGAATGACCGGTGTTCCCCTGTCAGAGCGAAATAATACAAAATTCAACCAGAGACCGCATGATAGATCTATTATATGGTCCTTGATTCAACTCATTAATGCCATCGCCACTTGAAATAGAATCACGAAATGTCGTGATTATTTATCAATGAAGACAGCTGCATGTGTGCTAATACTTAAAGTGAAAACAACCCATTCCTGTCGATAAGGAAAAGTGCGCTTTTCAAGAAATATCCATTAACTTAAGCGATATAATTTGTCATTGAGTTTTGGTTACAATCTGGATAAAGTGTTTGTCTGTTTGTTCTTTAACGCCGCACTCAGCAGTATTCCAGCTATATAACGGCGGTCTGTAAATAATCGAGTCTGGACCAGACAATCCAGTGATTAATATCATGAGCATCGATCCCCGCAATTGGGATATGATGACATGCATCAAACCTGACCACCCGATCCCGTTAGTCGCCTTTTACGACAGGCATGGGTTGCTGAAGACCTTTTCTACCCCGGATCTTCACGGGTTTATGTATGATGAAGAAAAAAAAACTCTTATCAGATTTACTCACCAGTGGGTTTTACAACCGACACCTGGTCTAGATGCACTTTACAAGGATATATCACTGCGACATGCCACGGCCTAGAAACTTGGCAATGTGGACCTTGCCATGAGCACCTTTAATGGTTATTAAAAATTTCAGGACCGATTCTTACCGGGATCTTCACGGGGTTTGGTAAGGGTCGGCAGTCAGGTCCTGCGAGCGGTTATACACGTGAGCGGTGTTCGTAATTCTGTTCCAAATGGCGAGGACTACAATAGCATAGTTGAGCATTTGTGTCTGTCGGGAATTCTTACTTTGGTTAAATAAAGCGTATGTGTTTAAGGAATGATTTTTTCGATTTCTTACTTTGGTTTTATCCCGTTACACTACTATTGAATTTTCTCAGTTTATTTTCTGAATGCCACAGCTTGCCTAGTCGTCTAAAGCGCCTCAGAGATGCGTCCCTTAGGCGTGCATGAAACATATCGTGGGTTCGAATCCCGTTTTGCTCTGGATATATTTCAAGGTTTGTCAGCACCATATCCGTGCTGGACCTGCACCCCTCCGGGCTTTCCTCCCCACATCAATCGTTAAGTTAACGGTTGGCTGTTATATGATTTGCTTCAAACTTGCCGGGGCTGCCATGGTCTTTGCCAATGTCCTATAAAAAACAAACAAACATTCTGACAGAAAAACTGTCTCGCTATGAAAGGAAATGGTCGAGGTCCATGTGTCTATATTGGGATGTACGGGTGTTTACGAGTTGAATAGGTTTGTAAACAATGAGACCGAAGTTTAGATTTGTTTGTTTGTTGTTTAACGCCGCACTCAGCAATATTCCAGCTACATGACGGCGGTCTGTAAATAATCCAGTCTGGACCAGACATCCAGTAATTCACATCATGAGCATCGATCTACGCAATTGGGATACGATGACATGCATCAACTAAGTCAGCGAGCCTCACCACCTGATCCCGTTTGTTGCCTCTTACGACAACCATAGTTGCCTCTTATGACAAGCATGGGTTGCTGAAGACCTATTCTACCCAGGATCTTCATGGGTGGAGACGAAGGTCGAGGTGTGGAGAAGAAAGTTCAAGTCGTAAATCACCATTGTATATATACGCTATACCAGTTAGATACTTATTTTCGGCGAAATATTTATAGTGCAATAATAAATTTCTTGTAACAGACTTTCAGTTAATTGACTCTGGGTGCGAACGTGGTCTGTGACGTGTGGCGTCACACCGGGCACGTTGACGTCGTGAGGCCCGCACAGACTGGCCAGCCGTCTTGGGGATTTTACAAGACGATGATTTGCCAATCAGACTGCTAGGAATTATTACGAACGACGGCAATGTATGTTCCAGAGCGTCAAAAATCTTACACAGCGGTATTGAAGGCAATCCACCATTGGGAGCAGAACACCTGTCTCAGGTTCCTCAAATATGGAACAAAGGAGTATCGCAGTTCAAATGTCAACCACAGGGCTATCGTCTCATTTGGAACTGGAAAAGGGTATGTTATTGTTTGTTGTTTTATCTCGCACTCAGCAATTTTCCAGCTATATGACGGCGGTCTGTCTGTACCAGACACTTCAGTGATTGACATCATGAGCATCGGTCTATGCAGTTGGGAAACGATGAAATGCATCGACCAAGTCAGCGTGCCTGACTACCCGATCCCGTCAAGTCACCTCTAATGACAGGCTTGGGTTGCTGAAGATCAATTCTAACCCGGATTTAACCCACTCACTCTTATCGTGTCTGGGGCGGTGGGGTAGCCTCGTGGTGAAGGCATTCACTCGTCACGCCGGAGACCCGGTTTCGATTCCTCACACGGGTACAATGTGTGAAGCCCATATCTGTTGTCCCCCGTCGTGATATTGCCGGAATATTGCTAAAAATGGCGTATACTCACTCACTCACTCCAATCTGATCAAATATACAAAGTTAAATTCATCTGGGAAATCTGGTCAGCCGCAAGCCTTTTCAAAATTTACTATGATGGCATTCCCAAAGAGTTAAACAAAAGTATAACGTTACTACATTTCCGTTGATGGAATAGTGCTCCTGAATATAACAACGATTGAGAGTTCATTTATGGAATCTTGTGTCAATATATTGCCACATCAAATTACCATAACTTAACGCCTAAAGGTACATTTTTCCACAATGGCTTCTTTACAATCGGCACTAATAATATTTCGGTTTTCCTTCGTACCATAACACACTGATCCCGATTCGCTGTGCAGAGTTACGTCCCTTTGGTACGCCAGAAACCTGTGATCGTGGGTTCGAATACCCGTTCGCCCCGATTATGTGACGAGGTTTGTCAGCACCATACCCGTGCTTGTGTTTCACCAGAGCGGTAAACCTATGACACAGTTCAGGGTTTCTCCAACTTCAAGCTGACACGACGTAATATAACTGGAATACTGTTCAAAGCGGCGTAAAACTCAACTCACTCACTCACATGACTCTTGACAACCTGCCGTTGATGACTTTCCTCATACGTTTTCCTTTGAATACTCCATGTATCCATCCTAGTTCATCACCCATGCACCTGTCACCTGCCTGTATGTTGTCAGGTGTGCGTCTCGTGTCGGCTACTCGCACGGACTTCTTAATGTCTACCTCAACGAAAGATACTGCATGCGCGTGAGTAGAGGAGTTGCAATATCTAAGATAACGTCAGGCGAGTACCTCAAAATGGTATTACATATTTGTAATATCATTTTGACTATAAATCGTATTACCTGCCATTTATTCTTCATTCATTTTTCAATTCCGTTCGTTCATTCCACTATTTACTTCCTATTCATTCGTCCATTCTTATATGTATTCTCATTCATTCATTCTCATATTAATTCTCATTCATTTTTCTCATGTTCACTCATTCAATAACACTTTTTCTCATATTTATTCTGCATTCTTTCTTTCATCCATTTCATATTTATTTTTTCTGTTCATTCTCATATATGTTCTTATTCATTCATTTTCATATATATTCCCATTCATTCATTTTGATTAATTGATTCATTCATTTATTCTCATATTTATTCTCATTCATTCTCATATATTTTCTTTTCATTCGTGGGGGCACGGGTGGCACAGTCGTCTAAGGAGCCGCGATTCTCTTTGCAGAATTGCGTCTTTTGGGAAGTCAGAAACATATGGTTGTGGGTTCGTATCCCGGTTCGCCCCGATTATGTTTCTAGGTTTGTCAGCACCATACTCAAATCGTGGTTTTCACCGAAGTGGTAAATGTCTGAGACCTGCATCACTTCAGGCTTTCCTCCCACCTTAAGCTGACACGCCGTGATATAACTGAAATACTGTTAAAAGCGGAGTTAAACCCAACTCACTCACCTACCTATTCATTCGTTCATTCTCATATTTTCACTCATTCATTCACGTCGTCGCATGTTTCAATTATTGTGTTAACCGAGTGCACGTTCCTCCTTATCCCACAGAGGGGAACGATTGTCCACGAGATCGGCCATGCTATTGGTTTCTTCCACGAGCAAGCTCGAGCTGACAGACGTGATCACGTGACTGTCAATAAACAGAATGTCAAGGGCGGAAAAATGAAGAACTTCGTGATAGTACGTGGTCTGGCAAACAGGGCCAGCTACGACCTCGGCTCCATCATGCACTACGGCCCAAAGGTAAAACCCAGTCCTGATAAATAACATAGCTAGCAACGATCAGGCCGTTTGTTGCTCACTAGAAATGTGAAATTTTGAAAACTTTGATATATTGGTATGAAAGTTATCAAACATGTAGAAATGCCCGATTTTTTTATCTTCTTACACTTACAGTGGGACCCGTGAAGATTCCGGGGTAGAATAGGTCTTCAGCAACCCATACTTGCCGTAAAAGGCGACTAAAGGGATCGGGTGGTCAGGCTCGCTGACTTGGTTGATGCATGTCATCAATCCCAATTGCGTGGATCGATGCTCATGATGTCAATCACTGGATTGCCTGGTCCAGACTCGATTATTTTACAGACCGCCGTCATATAGCTTAAATATTTCTGAGTGCGGCGTTAAACAACAAACAATACTTACAGTGGGCTTTTAACATTATTCCAGTTATATCACAGCGTATCAGTTTAATGTGGGAGGAAAGCCCGAAGTGATGCAGCTGTCAGATGTTTACCACTTCGGCGAAACCCAAAAGCACGGATGTGGTGCTGACAAACCTAGAAACATGATTGGAGCGAACCGGGATTCGAACCCACAATCATAGGTTTCATTGATACAACTGGCATATTGTTAGAAGCGCCGTTAAACCCAACTCACTCACTCCCTAACTCCTACTATGCAACCGAGAAACACTGCTTACTTCTTAATTTGGATTCAGTATTTCAGCAAAAATGGGAAGAGAACGATTTCCCCTAAACTCCGCATGTTGACCTTTCTCATGGGCCAGAGACGGAAGCTGAGTTTCTATGACCTTCAGGAGGTCAACCAAGCTTACAAATGTGCAGGTAACTGATATCCCTATTGTCTTCTTATCAAGTAATAGTCATAACGAATCAGAATATAGGAAGGTAACGGTAAGATCAGGGATACTAACTGTAAAATTTGAAAATGAATGCTGCAATATGATTGGTTGAAAATCTTTGTTGAATGAAATTTGATTCTGGACATTTGTCGGACTTTTTACAGCACATGACAACTTTTCATGATAAGTGATTTTATTTTTCTATCCCAAATGTTAAAATATATCATGTCATTCCACTTCGCGAATCAGATACCGAATTAAGCAAATATCAAGTTTTCTAAATATTCATTAACGCAATTTCGATTTTGTTATTTTTTCACACATTCTGCTAACCGAGAGTGTTCGGTTATCAGAGAAACACATGACGTCATCATGACGTCAGAACATGTCTATCTGACGCAGAACATATCATAAGATTAGTTTTATTAATTTCTAACAATACTTGGTATGATGGTGATTTAAGCAAGCTGCACCAATGCCCCGAGTTGTGAAAACGGGGGCTTCCTGCTCCAGTCTTGTCGGTGTCATTGTCCAGATGGTCTCGTGGGTTCTCGCTGTCAGAATATCAACTCTCGCTACTCAGAAGGTGAGCTACGTCCATATTATGACATCTTACGTCGTTTTTTAAGGACATCTACCCGTGAAGATCCGCGGTAGAATAGGTCTTCAGCAACCCATGCTTGCCGTAAAAGGTGACTGCTTGTCGTAAAAGGCGACTAACGGGATCGGGTGGTCGGGGTCGCTGACTTGGTTGAAGCATGTCATCGATCCCAATTGCATGGGACCCGTGAAGATTCCGGGGTAGAATAGGTCTTCAGCAACCCATGCTTGCCGTAAAAGGTGACTATGCTTGTCGTAAAAGGCGACTGACGGGATCGGGTGGTCAGGCTCGCTGACTTGGTTGAAGCATGTCATCGATCCCATTTGCGTGGATCGATGCTCCTGATAACAATCACTGGATGGTATTGTCCAGATTCGATTATTTACAGACCGCCGTTATATGGCTTAAATATTGCTGAGTGTGGTGTAAAACAACAATCCAAACCAAAATCTGAAGGACATCATACAATGCAAGCATTGTTGAACCCATCTTCTTCTTAAATACCATATACTTACTGATAAGATATGCCCGATGTAATGTAACATTTTTAGTGTATACGATTTATTGGCTTTAAATTTAGTTCTAAATTCATTTTGTCAGCCCCATATTAATTACCAAGAATATACTCTGCAAAAAAAGAAACGCAATCGTTATTTTTATATTTTATATATCATATAAATAAATCAACAGATCGTACTTGACTGTTCAAAATTGACACATATGGCACACATGAAACAGTAGATTGCAAGATGAAGGTCATCTGTTCTTTGGCCACTGAGTCCAAAACTGACTGGCATCGTCGTCCAATGGAAGCAATCGGATCCCGAATTGTGGCCTGGGGAATGTTCCCCACTCTGCCCGCAGTGCTTGTGCCAACTGTCGGATGTTCTGTGGTTGTTGCTGAGGTGCTCGCAGTTGTTGATCCAGTGCATCGCTATAAATGCTCGATTGGGTTTAAATCTGGAGACCAGCAGGGGCCATGGCAGCACCTGGATGTTTTGATTCCTACATCACCACACTACCACCACGAAATCTGTCCACTTGTCTGCAGTTTCGTGTATAACGTTCACGCTTGTAAACACGACGTCCACCATCCGCACGATGAAGCATAAAACGTGCCTCGTCTCAAAACCAAACTTGTCTCCTTTCACCTTTTCGCGAACACCTGGTATCATCACTATTTGAAAGGGATTCATATACACATGCTCTCTGAACAGTGGATTAACCCTCTGGATGCCGAGTATTTTTCTGACGCACATTTTCCTCAGATATGAAAAGTAAAGGTTTGGCGACAAATGCTGTAAATAACGCCGCCGAGTGGTGATTTAGTACCTAGTAAAAAATGGCGACATTTACGATGTACCTAACTTCCAGAGGTCATTTTCAGTAATTCTGTTTGACCTAAAATGCCAGTGGATGACATCAGAGAACAGGGAATTTCCCACAGTATTCAAAACTGTGAAGTGTATCTGTGTGCGTGATGTATATTGAATTTTATTCGACTTCAAAGTGAAGGTTGAATATGTCCCTCTGGCATCCAGGGAGTTAAATCAATATTTTGTATTTGGGTAGAGAAAAGTCGTGTGTTCCAAGTATCGTTTGGAGGGTCCATCGATATCAAGTCGCCAAGTCAACACGAACACACAACGGCGGTGTGGCTTATTAAGGTAAACTTGTTTTTTAATGTCTCACAATTACTCACACCCTTCACTGAAGGCTTCTACCATGTTATTCTTCACTTCCACCAAGTGGCAAGTTGTTGGAATGGGTGCTGTCCGCCAGAAACCGTTTTATATTTTATTACAAGACTCTGCATACCTATCGCGCTCATGCTAAACTTGTGCTTTCTGAAAATTATTTTTTACCATTTCCATGACAACAAATGGGATTTCAAATGAAGTTATATTTTATTTCGTTTTCAAATGTATATCATTACGCCCAATGTGAGATTTATGTTTTTGATTTATAGAGTCCAGAGGGTACGACAATGAAGATGCATCTCATCCTTGACCTTTCCTATGACCGCTTCTTACGACTTTGTCACCACTGGGTCGAAGTCCGCTTCAACCTCGTTGGTCAACCGGGCCCTCGGTACGAGTTCGCTCCCCTTGGTATTGTGTAAAGGGCGAAACCGAATTATCAGTGATTCGCATCAAGCTTCTCACAGCGATTGCCCGTTCGCGGAGCTCCCTATACTATCGCTGTTACCAGTGATAGGTTGCTACAACCATGCTTCGCGTTAAACTCGCAACCGACTGACCGTTATGTTTAATAATTATCTTTGTATGTCAATTTGAATTTCTATTTCATTTCAGCTATCATGTAATTGGTATAGTAAGAATGTAAGGGGGAAGTTGGGTGATTTTACGTTCGTCAAAATTTACTATGGTGGCATTCCCATTTGGGGTTAGAGGGCAAATTTCAAGATTCTTGTAATGGACGCGCCCACACTAACGGCAGCGACGTTACCGAGAGTGTAACGAAGGTGTCACGCGCTGGGAAGGAGCTTACGAGTCACACTGGGAAAGGGAGGTCACTCTAATTACAATCTAAAGCTATCTCCGTTGTTTCGTATTTGGTAAAAATAGCGTCACTCTGTCCGTTGTCCGAATGTAAATTCGCCAGGATTATTAATCAAATGCTTGAATATAATTTATTTTCATCTAACAGAGCTAGGACACTTCTGGAACCACCAATAATACGCATTCGCCTTGTAAACGGCCTGACCAGATCATACCCGATTACTGGCTTGAGTGGCCAAGACTTTATTATTTACATAACTCACGATATGTCAGGAGTATTGCGGACTCAATAATATTCGTTCACTTTATATTGAACGCAGATTAAATCGATAGCTTTTTGCAAACGGTACATGTCAATGATGTGAGGGCTGTTGATACATAATAGAATATAGTCGTGTTCCGTCAGGTTTTGCACACAGTATATGAGTGATTCCGAGCTCCTCACTTTTGAATCTACTTCAGGCTCTGTGGATACTCAATGAAACCCTTGGAGCTGAATTCTACCACTAACTTGCTCATGTTGAAGTACGAGAGCCGCGAAAGTTATTACCACGCAAAACGAGGATTCCTTCTTCACATAGCTGTCGTTCAACCCATCAGTAAGTGAGTGAGTGAGTGAGCTTGGTTTAACGCCACTTTGAACAGTATTCTAGTCAAGTGAAAATTGTACGAACAGTACCGCTGCCTTATTTTGAAGCAATGTAATGAGCAGATTTTTGCTCTTTCTGTATGAGTGAGTGAGTGAGTTTGGTTTTACGCCGCTTTTAGCAATATTCCAGCAATATCACGGCGGGGGACACCAGAAATGGGCTTCACACTCTTCCTGTATGAGAAGTATTGCCGTGTGGGATGTAATTGGTGTGGGTGCTCGCTGGGTTCCCTTTCGATGGAACCAGACTGTGTCTTGATTTGTTGGTTAAAATGAGAGTTGGGTTAACGCCGCTTTGAACAGTATTCTAGTTACATCATAGCGTGTCAGCTTAAAGTGGGAGGAAAGGCCGAGGTGATGCAGGTCTCAGGCGCCTTCCACGTTGATAAAACCCAAGAGCACGGGGTGGTGACAATCCTAGAAACATCATGGGGGCGAACCCACCATGAGTAAGTAACCCGTAGAGATTCATGGGAAGAATAAAGGTCCCCAGCAACCTATGCATGTCAAGAGTCGATTGAAGGGATCAGCTGGTCAGGCTTTGTCACTTGGTTGATTTGCGTGTCATCGTACCCCGCAGCCCTCGTTGTTCATAATATCAATCACTGGTTTTTCGAGACTCGATTTATTTCTAGGCCCCCGTGATATAGATGTAACATATATGCAATATAGCTGACTGTCGCACAAAACAGATTTCGATGTTTGTTTGTTGTTTAACGCCGCACTCAGCAATATTCCAGTGATATGACGGCGGTTTTTAAATAATCGAGTCTGGACCAGACAATCCAGTGATTGACATTATGAGCATCGATCCATGCAATTTGGATACGATGACATGCATCAACCAAGTCATCGAGCATGATCCCGTTAGTCGCCTTTTACGACAAACAGTCATCTTTTACGGCAAGCATGGGACGTTGAAGACCTATTCTAACGGCAAGCATGGGACGTTGAAGACCTATTCTAACCGGGATCTTTACGGGTCAGGAGGATGAAGGTGCAATGGCATCTACTGTTGTATATACTACTCAAAATTTGTTAAGGACTACACCTTTGACCATTTTGTTTCTTAGCAAATGTTGAGAAGCATATAGTATGTACATGTATAATTCACATAGGGACTTTTTTGTTCATTTTGTAGATACTCATGTCATCTGTACTTTCAAAGACACGGATGCGGCCAGATGTCCTTTCCAACAGAGCAAAGAGGACGACATTGACTGGGAGACATTTGTAGTACGTACACCAACTGTCATATTTACATGGAATGAGTTCCATATGATCATATGCATGGATATTATTGTCGTATAGATAAAAGACATTATTATTATTCCTCATAGTGAGATAGACGAATCAGAGAGCAGGACTGCTAATTATGACACCATGTGAGACCTATACTGTCAGTAAGAGCCATCTTTGCCTTTCCAACACACACCACATGTATTTTACATGAAAGTTCTGGAACAGAAATTCGTTATTAGACACTGTTTTGTGTTGTTATATTATAAATTGTGATGTCCAAGGACATTCACTTTTTTTTAAAAATCGCGGTCGAGACTATGTTAAAATAGATTTTAGTTAAAACTTTCGATCCGTAAAGATCCGGGGTAGAATAGGTATTCAGCAACCCATGCTTGCCGTAAAAGGCGACTATGCTTGTCGTAAAAGGCGACTAACAGGATTGGGTGGTCAGGCTCGCTGCCTTGGTTGATGCATGTCATTTTCGTGGTCCAGACACGATTATTTAGAGACCGCCGTCACAAAACTGGAATATTGCTGAGTGCGTGGTTAAACAACAAACAAACAAACAATAGATCAGGTGGTTGATTACGTGTGAGTAACCAGGGTGTCGATCATAACTCCCAATATTAATCACTGGATTGTCTGGTCCAGACTCGATTTTTTGCAGATCGAAGTAAAAAAGTTGAAATATTGCTGAGTGCGGCGTAAACAACAAAAACACACAGAAACACACAAACGCACGCGCGCACATATGTACGCCCACGACTGCTAATGGCCAAATGCAACCATATTCAAACCACAAAGGTGACGTGAAAATATGTTTCATATATTGATATTTTCTTTCTGTCTGTTTTCAGATAAACAAGATTTCACTTGACAATGATGAAGACGGACTGTCCTATATCGCCATAGATTCCCGTTACGCCCCCCAGGCAGGGAAAGCTATACTAAGGAGTGCTGAAATACTTGGTAAGAAGATAAACAGCTCACAATAGCACCATTGTTCTACTCCAGACTTTGTGCCTGATTACGTAGCATCGTATCACGACGGCGTAAATCGGTGCTCATGCTGTCAACCAGTAGTTCACCTTGCCCAAAGACCCGTGAAGATCCGGGAAGAGAATAGGTCTTCAGCAACCTCTGCTTGTCGTTGGTTTGTTCTTTAACGCCGCACTCAGCAATATTCCAGCTATATGACGGCGGTCGGTAGGTAAATAATCGAAGTTGGACCAGACAATCCAGTGATTAATATTATGAGCATCGATCCACGCAATTGGTTCGATGACATGCATCAACCAAGTCAGCGAGCCTGACCACCCGACCCCGTAAGTCGCCTCTTACGACAAGCATAGTCACCTTTTACGGCAAACATGGGTTGCTGAAGACCTATTCTACCCCGGAATCTTCACGGGTCTTAAGAGGCAACTAACGGGAACGGATGGTCAGGCTCGCTGACTTGGTTGATGCATGTCATGATATACCAATTGCGTAGATCGATGCTCATGATGTGAAGCACTGGATTGTCTGGTCCAGATTCGATTATTTACAGACTGTCGTCATATAGCGAGAAGATTGCTGTGTGCGGCGTTAAACAACAAACAAACAAACGTGAGGGGCGACCCTAAATTGGATCGGGTGGCCAGGCTCGATCGACAATTTAAGTCAGAGACATCATTTGATTTCACTGCCTCCGTGGTCTAGTGGTTGAGCGTCCGCCTGGAAAGCGAAAGGTCAGACGTTCCATCCCCGGCCGCGTCATGCCAAAAGACGTTAAAAGATGGTACTTGTTGTTACCCTGACTGGTGCTCGGCATTAAGGAGCTAAAACAAGGACTGGTCAGCTCAGTGTCAGTATATCGTGTTGAGTGGCGTATTCATTTTAAACTAAGGCATCGTATCTAAGTGGGCTACCACTATAAAATCAGCATTACTCCCGATACCTGCATGCACGTCGCTATATAAGTGCAATAATCTTGGCCGCGATGTTAAACCCCGTTTCACCTTAACTCAATTCCCAAGTTTGCTGCAATATGTTAAAATCGGCTCATTCACTGACCTATTTTCCATTTTAGGGGGCTCTTGGTGTCTCAAATTTCTGTACTTCGTTAATGCTGCGCAGACACGTGGGTATATGCACGTGCTTGCCATGACAACACAGAGGACAGGGAGATGGTGTCTTTGGGGCACACCTGAATATGGTGAAGGCGAGTGGTCGCCCGCTGAGCTGTCTATCAATAGCACAGATAGATTTATGGTAAGTCCGAGCAGAACAAATAATTTTTAAGGACGATTTTAGCATAAACATCACTTTAATTTTGTGGATAGACTTATGGCGATAGACTTATAAGTAGCTAAAACTGAACGTCAAAACACACTCACTATAAAGGAGATTTATTCCCCTAAGGTGGTTGTACAGAGTTGCGACCCTTTGGCGTACCAGGAACCTAATTGTGGGATTGAAAGCTAGATTTAGAACAATAACACTTCCGACTTTCCTCTCACATCAAGTTGACACGCCGTTGTACAACTGAAATATTGTTCAAAGCGGCATAAAACCACCCAATCAATTTGACAGAGCTATCCGTTAGATATGTGTTGTTATGTGACCATTGTCTTTTCATTATTCCTCTTTATCTACTAACATCAATTCGTGCCGCCTTTAAGATCCCCACAATCCCCTTCTTGCCGTCAGAGCCAGCATATTGTCCTGTGTATCCGGTGGTCACAGTGTCCTGTGTATCCGGTGGTCACAGTGTCATGTGTATTCGGTGGTCAGTGTCCTGTGTATCCGGTGGTCACAATGTCCTGTGTATCCGGTGGTCAGTGTCCTGTGTATCCGGTGGTCAGTGTCCTGTGTATCCGGTGGTCACAATGTCCTGTGTATCCGGTGGTCAGTGTCCTGTGTATCCGGTGGTCACAATGTCCTGTGTATCCGGTGGTCAGTGTCCTGTGTATCCGGTGGTCAGTGTCCTGTGTATCCGGTGGTCACAATGTCCTGTGTATCCGGTGGTCACAGTGTCCTGTGTATCCGGTGGTCAGTGTGTCCTGTGTATCCGGTGGTCACAATGTCCTGTGTATCCGGTGGTCAGTGTCCTGTGTATCCGGTGGTCAGTGTGTCCTGTGTATCCGGTGGTCAGTGTCCTGTGTATTCGGTGGTCACAGTGTCCTGTGTATCCGGTGGTCACAATGTTATTCTCTATCTCCAGGACTCGCATTTCGATAAACCTACACTAACCCTTGGATCCATTCCCGTATTTCTAACAATCTCAAATCACCTGTCCTTGATTTTTCATGAATATTTCACCGACCAGTGAAACGCCGAGATGAGGAAAAAGGATGGGTAAGGGAGGCAACTCGTATTGCCATGTTGTTCATATCGCCTCTGCTGGGCCCCGTCTCTCATATCGCAAGTTGACGACCCCGCGCATTAGGAGCCGGAAACCAGCTTACTTCCTGACATTGAGACTGGTTTGTAACTCGCATTCTGATTGGTCCGTAAGACTAAGTCGCGTAGCAAAGCAAATTCGCTAATGAAATCAAGCGCGGTTAGTTTGAGATGGCGAGATCCAAGGAAATGGATCCGGAGGTAGGTGTAGGTTAACCGAAATGCGAGCCCCGGAGATTTAGAGGCTGTGTGTTATAGTACCCTCTGAGCCTTTGTTTATGTCACAGACGACTATGTTGTCTGGTCCGGGCGATCATTTACATGTCGCCTTGATATTGCTGCAATGTTGCTGGCTGCTGCATGCAACGTTACATGATAGCATCACACATTTACTAATGCTGTTTCCATGTGATTCAGATCCAGTTTGTAGGTGTTGTGAAAGATCAACTGACGATTGGCGTGACCATGATAGAGCTCATCCCAGGACCATGCCAGCACCCGGACAAATCCCTGAATCTCCTTCACAAGAAAGGTATTCCAAAACCGCGAAATGTTCAATTAGCTGAATCATTTTCGACTTGGAACCATGAAGATTTGGGTCAGAATTGGTCTTCTGCAACTCATGCTTATCGTAAGAGGCGACTAACGCAGGTAGTTCGGGTGATAAGGCTCCCTGACTTGGTTGAAGCATGCCATCGTATCCCAATTGCGAAGATCGATGTGAATAAATCACGGGATTTTCATGCCCAGATTCGATTATTTATAGACCGCCATCATATAGCTGGAATATTGCCGAGTGCGGCGTTAACAACAGACGAACTTACTAGACTTTTTAAGACTGTACATTCAATATATACGTCATTCGTCATGTATTGTTTCATCTGCAATGCCTATGACGAGTTGAATCCCTTAGACGTGATCTTAGACGAACTCGTGATCATTGGTTCGAATCCTGGTTCGCCCTATTTCTCCCTGTATGTTTCTAGGTTTGTCAGCACCATACCCGTGCTCTTGGGTTTCACCGAAGTGGTAAACATCTCACACCTGCATCACTTAGGGCTTTGCTCCCACACCAAGCTGGCCCGCCATGATATGACTGGAACACTGTTGCTCACCAATACTCACTCCGTCTGCCGGAGAGCCGAACGTCGGTGGTTTCCGCCCCCTGGCCGTGTCATACCAAAAGTCGTTAAAATAGGAGATTACTAACCAGCTCCCATTGTGACAGTCATAAACAGCTTGGCGATTGGGGATTTATACATAGACAGTTCTGTTCAATTTGCCCTATGCCGATTTTGGCGCAAAATTGGTCCCCGTCACCTCATGCTTGTCATCTTGAGGACATTGTGGTTGTGTGACTGGCTGTGTCATCGTGTTTATGGCAGGCGCTTACAGCCTATGGGAGATAATTCTAACGACCAGTTATCGCCAAGGACCTAAGGGAGATAACTCTAACGACCAGTTATCACAAGAACCTATTATCATAAACCCCGTTATAGCTTCTTGTTTTCATTAGAAGGGAGAAATATTTATCCGAAAATAATTTGAGAAAACTGACACTCGTAGGAAATATTAAGAAACACCATATCAGTACCTTGCTCAAATACAAGTTTAGAAAAGACACGCGTGTGGTGTCACGTGACTTCCTCAGGTAGACAGAAATCCAACAACACGATGATGCACATTTACTTTTCTTTTCTTAGGAGTTCTGTCATTTTGCTTACTACCTGTTTGTTTTTTCACAATCTCATTATTATCAGATCTTAGTTCTCGCTGCCGCTAAACAAAGATCTGAGGACATCCCATTACGGGTCACGTCAGACCGACCTTTCGCGAACTCTGTCCGACCAATGGAATTACTAAAAAGAATTTGATATTAGCCAATCAGAAGGCAGTTTTCTCGTGCTTTACGGCACTAATTTCAAATTGGCGACTACGCTTCGAAACATATTTTGACAAATTCTCGATTAAAAATTTGAAACCTGAACAAAAGAACATTCTCGAATGGCTAATATATGGTCTAGATTGTATAGATTCAGTCGTTAAGCCCGTAACTATCGTTCGGAATACCCCGTTTTAAAGTTTTCGGGGCTGCAAGATTAGAAATCACATTCCGACTGTCACTTTTATGATCTGGTAAGCGACGCTCTGATTGGTCGGATGAAAGGTCGTTCTGACGTGAACCCTAATGGGATGTCCTAAGATCTTTGCTTAGCGGTAGCGAGAACTAAGATAGATTTTAATGAGATTGTTTTTTTCATTTCTTCCCAAAATTATAATTCTAAAACCTAGAAAAGTTGCATAATCTGAACATGTGGCGAAATCCATAGCAGATAGTGTTGTGGATGAGGATGTGTCGATCGAATTTTGGGGAATATTGGTTAACGTCAGTTGGCAGACAAATTTGCTGGAAAAAAAACATTTCTTTTTAATTAGGATGGATAAAATAACGTGATCGGGTGGTCAGGCTCGCTGACTTGGTTGTAGCATGCCATCGATCCCGGGAACATCCGGGGTAGAATACGTCTTCGGCAACCCATGCTTGTCGTAAAAGGCGACTAACGGGATCGGGTGGTCAGGCTCGCTGACTTGGTTGATGCATGTCATCGATCCTAAATTCGTGGGTCGATGCTCATGATGTCAATCACTGGATTGTCTGGTCCAGACTCGATTATTTACAGACCGCCGTCATATAGCTGGAATATTGCTGAGTGCGGCGTTAAACAACAAACCAAACCAAAGATAACGTTGCGCGTGCTGTTTATACAATAGCGATAACTGGTACAGTTAGTCAACGGAAAAATTCTATTTTCACTGCTTTGATTCCCTCTCGTCGCGTTACAACAGAAATCTACTCAAACTTTTTCCACGGACAGAAATAAGGTATTTGCTCATGGCTTCACAAAAATGGATGTTAAAGGTACAGTCGACTTTACACACGGTACATTTCACAAATGGCGATAACTGGTCGCTAGCCAGTAGTTACCGGAAGTGATAACGAATGTAAACACTGACGGGGTGGGGATCAAGTGTTGCTAAGTAACTGGTAAGTGATTGAATGGTTTGCACACGTCGCTGGGATACCTAGTTGGGCAATAAGGTCATGGAGATTGTAGAAACGGCAGTGTGTGGTGGCGTCTGGGATTTTGTCTGGAAATTAGATAGATTTATAAAAAAAAATTAAAACTGAGCTTGAATATATATTTCAGAGAAACACATTGCAACCATGTAAGTTTTTGTAAAACACAATTTCTCTTTTTTTAACAGTCTGAGGGATAATTATTTCTTCAAGAATGTTCTTGGACAATTTATTTTTTTCGATTAAATCCCAACCCCACCTCCTCCCAAATAGCAAATGGTCGGACTCATACGACCTTCTTCCGTACTTCGATTGACCCGTGATCATCCGGCGTAGAATAGGTCTTCAGCAACCCATGCTTGCCGTAACAGGTGACTATGCTTGTCGTAAAAGACGACTAACGGGATCGGGTGGTCAGGCTCGCTGACTTGGTTGATACATGTCATCGTGTCCCAATTGTGTGGATCGATGCTCATTATATAAATCATTGGATTGTCTGGTCCTGACTCGATTATATACAGACCGCCGTCATATAGCTGCAATATTGCTGAGTGCGGCGTTAAACAACAAACCAACCAAACAACGTACTTCGATGGGGTGGACCAGTACTCGTCCATCAACTTATCGGTTCCGAGTTCATAACTTGTACTGTTCAATACTGTATCAATACTCTATACTGATGTAATAGTACTTGTGTGATTGTCGTAAAAGGCAACTAACGGGATCGGGTGGTCAGGCTCGCTGACCTGGTTCATGCATATCATCGTATCTCAATTGCGTAGATCGATACTCATGATGTCAATCACTGGATTGTCTGGTCCAGACTCGATTTATTTTTTTTACAGACTATCATATAGCTGGAATATTGCTGAGTGTGGCGTTAAACAACAAACAAACACATGTTCAATGTGACCAGGTTTATTTTCTTTCATCGGATCGAAGGTGGTATTTTAAATGTTGATTGTATCAACGACTTGTTCCATATAGATTTCATACCAGTATACCAATACAACAGATCTCAACGTGTCTTTCACGTGCGACTTCGATGTCGATTGGTGCGGATTTACGGATGACAATGACGTCACACCTCGGTGGAGCAGACGGCAGTCATTTCCGGTAGCTGGACCGTCACGTGACCATAAACCACACGGCCGTCGCAGTGGGTTTTACATGAGCAGAAAATCGCCGTATCAGGTATAACTCAAGCATGGGGCTGTAACGGGAAGGGGAAAATATACACGAGTACTCGACCCGTGAAGATCCTGGTTAGAGGGGAACCCGTGAACATCCGGGGTAGAATAGGTCTTCACCAACCCATGCTTGCCGTAACAGGTGACTATGCTTGTCGTAAAAGACGACTAACGGGATCGGGTGGTCAGGCTCGCTGGCTTGGTTGATACATGTCATCGATCCCAATTGCATGGATCGATGCTCATGATATTAATCACTGGATTGTATGGCCCGGACTCGATTATTTACAGACGGCCGTCATATAGCTGCAATACTGCTAAGTGCGGCGTTAAACAACAAACAAACAAACAAACAAAGAAACCTACGGGTTGGGGGGCATGCACCCACCCTACTCATTGAAATATGAACTTCCAAAAACGCAATTGCCAGCAACCGAAAACTAAATCTATTCAAAATGTTCAGCTCAAAGTTTGGCCAATATACATGAAACGAAACCTACTTTCATGAAATTTTCATAACTATTAAAAAAATTAAACGTGCTCATGGCAAGGTCCACATTGCAAAGTTTCCATGTGTTATCTAGGCCGTGGTATGTCGCAGTGATATATCCATGTAAAGTGCATCTAGTCCAGGTGTCAGTTGTAAAACCCACTGGTGAGAGTAAATCTGATAAGAGATGTTGGTTTTTTTATCATACATAAACCCGTGAAGATCCGGGGTAGAAATTGTTTTCAGCAACCCGTGCCTGTCGTAAGAGGCGACTAACGGGATCGGGTCGTCAGGCTTGATCCATGTCATCGTATCCCAATTGCGGGGATCGATGCTCATGATATATAAATTAATCACTGGATTGTCTGGTCCAGACTCGATTATTTACAGACCGCCGTCATATCACTGGAATATTGCTGAGTGCGGCGTTAAACAACATACACCACCAATTACGTGGATCGATGCTCTTGATATATTATTAATCACTGGATTGTCTGGTCCTGACTCGATTATTTACAGACCGCCGTCATATCACTGGAATATTGCTGAGTGCGGCGTTAAACAACAATCAATCAATGTGAGGTTTCGAACACTCTTTTTTAGTGATAGATCCAGATTAATAGCAGATTATCATAGTTGACGGATAAAGCTTGTTCTGTTGACGCTGTATGTTTAGACAGGTGTTTTTGCTTGAAAAACACCTGTGAGTGTTGTATGTTTCACAGACAGGCAAAGCAGGACGACTTGTCAGTCCCACCCTCACAGCTGTCAATCACTATGGATGTGTTCGGTTCTGGATATACGTGTGGGGCTTCTCGCCCGGCATGATGTCAGTCTATCTACGGGATGGCAGCGGCTCGCAGACAACGGTTTGGAGATCTATATACCTCAAACCTACGTTCGCAGACTGGTCCCAGATATCGATTCCAATAAAACCAACCTCAAATATGTACAAGGTACGAGTACAGCCGCTATCCATGTTGGAGTAAGTGAGTGAGCGAGTTGGGTTTAACGCCGCTTTGAACAGTATTCCAGTTATATCGCGGCGTGTCAGCTTAATGTGGGAGGAAAGCCCGAAGTGGTGCAGGTCTCAGACGTTTACCACTTCGGTGAAACCAAAGCACGGGTATGGTGCTGACAAACCTTGAAACATAATCGGGGCGAACCGGGATTCGAACCCACAATCATAGGTTTCTGGCGTGCCCAAGGGACGCAACTCTGCACAGCGAATCGCGGCGGTTTAGACGACTGGGCCACCCGTGCCCCCTATCCATGTTGAAATTCCGCGTCCAAATATGTCCCCAGTATCACATGCTTGTCGCAAGATCTGACCATACAGGGAATTCTCGCCCGGTAGAAACCTTTTTTAGTGGAAATACCTAATAGTATGTAGATACTTTCCTTTGGTCCAAGTAAGCTCACTAAAAAAATATCATTTGTGACCAACCATGAGATAAGAGACCTTATGGGTGAAAAATCACATTTTGACTTCTTATTATATTTTAAAACTACAGTATCTCAGCACTACAAAAATACAATTCATAAGCTTCGATTCATAATTATTACAGAAATAAATGGCATCAACCATTTGGACTCATTTCCTGCAGAGTCCCATGTTAAGATTTATGACTGTTTATGTAATAATTTAAGTTTTTTTATATAATGTCTGATTTATTGAAAGTAGACATGCTGATATGCCTTGAAATAATGTTTTAATTACATTACGAACTAATGAGAGAAAAATACACTTTTTTTGTTGACGTCAAACGTCTTTCTTCATGACGTCACAGCACTATTGTATCCTAGCACCCATAAGGTCCCCTTTTTCTTGGTTGGTCACATTTCATATCTGATAAGTAGAGAAACCTGTTGTCTAGATACGTTTCCTTGGTCCTCAGAGATATGTATGCGTCGTTAAACCCCATTTGACCTCACCTCAAAACTTCAAAAATCTACAGCACTGACTTGCTTCTGGATTTCAATGATTAACTCATGCATTCTTGTGTATATGTCAATAAATACTTCCGAACGGACAAACGGTAACTACGTTTCAAGTAAAGTGGTGTAAATGTTATGTTATTGAAAATAACAACATATTTGGTACATTCTGGAACATTGATTAAGATACTTTTTTTACAAAAGATATGCATGTCACAAGATGCATTTTTATATAATATTTCAGAATCAATGTTTGTATAAAAATGTTTCTGATACCCAAACTATAATTCAATTCAAATTACAGGACCCTTTATACTTTCATTTTTAAATTACAACACTTCAAAACTTCAACAGGCATTATCTCCAAACAGCTTTACACTATTCTAGGGGCGGTAGGGTGGCCTAGTGGTTAAAGCGTTCGCTCGTCACGCCGAAGACCCGGGTTCGATTCCCGACATGGGTACAATGTGTGAAGCGGCGTAAAACCATACTCACTCACTCACTCACTCACTCACTCACTCACTCACTCACTCACTCACTCACTCACTCACTCACTCACTCACTCACTCACTTCTGGTTGTCATACGAATATTAATCTACAACACAGACTTGCCTGGGGGGTTCAGTGGTTAAATCATGCATTCTTCTATACACGTTAATATATTCATTCAAACAATTATGGGAACTCTCGGGCTTTGGTATGGGCGCAAAAGGGCAAATAACAATCGTCAGAAAAGGATGATTTTAAATGAATTCATTAAATGGCGACCAGGTACTGACATCGGGGGGTCACATCTGTGAACAAGGTAACCCAGGCATCGCCTTCAAAACCAGTAGTGTCAATTCATAAAGTCACAAGAACGCCAAGGGTGTCACTAACGTGTATGATAGTACCTCAGTGGGCTAGCCCTATAAAATCGGCGCACGCACACACATACTCACATATGCACGTCGCTATATAAGTGCAACAATCTTGTACACGATGTTAAACCCATTTCACTTCACTACAAACAGCGTTAAACCCAACTCACCTTACGATTTCGCCGAACCATGAAGCTTTCAGCTGAAATACTGTTCAAAGCAACCTCTACCTAACTCTCTTATTAACTGTTTTAAGAAACCTTCCCTTTAGGACTCGATGACAAAATACTATAAAGGTCCCTTATAAAGTTGCTGACTGCCTGCAAAACAGCATTCACTCACTCATACACCAAACTGTCTTAACTCTGGGGAAGGGTAGCCAAGTTCGCTTGTCATGCCAGGATTCGATTTCCCAATGGATACAATGTTTGGAGCCAGTTTCAGGTGTCCTCGCTGTGATATTGCTGAAATAGTGCTATAAGCGACGTAAAACCATACTCACTCACTCACGCCTCTGTTTCAGATCATCTTTGAAGTTGCAGTAGTTCACAAATGGGTAAATATAGCTCTGGATGACGTCACAGTGTTGGATAGTTACTGCTGATATTTCCTATCAGTGAAATAAATACGAAAATACTTTTTGACATTGTCAGTTCATTTTTACACGCTCTACTCAAACGTTACCCCGTTGGTAATCCGAGTATGACTGCGTCCCCTGGTTGTGTAGGGGACACTGGTGGCCCAGTCGTCTGAGGCGCCGCTACCCGTGAAGATCGGGATTAGAATCGGTCTTCAGCGCGGCGAGCGCTCCATGCTTATCGTTAAGGCAACTAACGGGATCGGGTGCTCAGGTTCGCTGACTTGGTTGATGCATGTCATCATATCCCAATTGCTTGTTTCGATGCTCATGATGTCAAGTACTGGATTGTCTGGTCCAGACTCGACTATTTACAGACCGCCGTCATATAGCTGGAATATTGCTGAGTGCGGGGTTAAACCAAATCTCACTTCCGTACACCGTTTTGGAGACCCGTAAAGATCCGGCGTAGAATAGGTCTTCAGCAAACCAGAATCTGGGCCTTGTCCACATGGAGATGTGTCTGTCTCACACGCGAAAACATTTACGGTATTCATAAACAGTTTAAAACGGTTTTGTGACGTCAATGGAGCTCGCCTCACAGTGCAATATAATAGGCAACCAGTCGCATTGAACATCCATTTAAGTGCATGTTAAAGCGTTCGCTCGTCACGCCGAAGACCCGGGTTCGATTCCCGACATGGGTACAATGTGTGAAGCCCATTTCTGGTATCCCCTGCCGTGATATTGCTGGAATATTGCTAAAAGCGGCGTAAAACCATACTCCGTCAGTCAGTCCATTTAAGTGTGTAACTGGGCTAATGTATACCCGGCCTCGCCCCTCTCCCTTAATTCCCCAGCGGACCCGTAAAGATCCGGGGTGGATAGGTCTTCAGCAACCCATGCTTGTAAAAGGCAACTAATGCGATCGTCTGGTCTTGGTTCATGCATATCATCGTATCCCAATTGCGTTGATCGATGCTCATGATTGGTTTGGTTTGGTTTGTTGTTTAACGCCGCACTCAGCAATATTCCAGCTATATGACGGCGGTCTGTAAATAATCGAGTCTGGACCAGACAATCCAGTGATTCATATGAGCATCGATCCACGCAATTGGGATCGATGATATGCTTACCCCGGATCTTCACGGGTCGATGCTCCTGATGTCAATCACTGGATTGTCTGGTATAGACTCGATTATTTGCAGACCGCCGTCATATGGCTGGAATATTGATGAGTGTGGCGTTTAACAACAAACAAACAAACAAAACATCGTTTTGGAAAGGCGAAAGCTCTACATCGCGTCTCATTTCTCTCTTCCCGCTTCCTTAAACATGTTTTAGGAAATACAAACATCAAAAGCCCAATTGTTCTGCCAATTTTCAACTTTTTATTTCAAAGATTTAATATCTAGGATTACTGATACGTTTTTATTTCGCTTGTTAACTATCGTGTTTTTAAAATGAGAATGACGAAGGTTTACGACATGCACTCTTGTTTACGGCAGGGTCAACGTCCCGGCGTCCCCAAAATAATCCAATTCTTGACACAATTCATTCATGCTCGCAAAGTTTCTGTTGGGCGGTAGTGACGTGACGTCACTATTTTGAGTGACAGTGTTGTTTAAGACGTCATAACTGCCTTATTTACGTACCCCATTTGTCAAATAGCCCACTATATAGAACAGAATAAATGGAATATAGCCCATGTATCCACACTTCAGCCACGTTCAGTAAAAATTTACATTTACAAACGCCACGCTACGCTCATGAAATATCAAGTTATTTTTAACTAACTAGATCTTGATGAAATGTTTGAAGTTATCTCTTTATAGTTTATATACTATAATACTAGATCAGGTAGTATTGTTAAAATCTCGATTGACTTTGATATCTTAAACATTCCCCAAATCGTAGATTTTGTGAAATTCACACTGCAAAACTGCGGAGACAAAGAAAGCAGGTTTTGGTCACTGTCAAATATGATTTGTTAATAACTGATGCCTTTTTTAAAATTGGTAAGAGATTACCTGGTAAAATGCACAGAATTTACAATCGTGGACAGTGGCATATATATGCGATGAATGACCGACGGGCACTTGTAGATCGCGCAATATGTTCCCTTTCTAGTAATTATATTAATATTTAAATCTCGTAACTATTGTTCAATTATTGCACCAGCGAGAAATGAGCCCTCACCTGTCTATTCGTTTACATTAGACAGGAACCCAGTTTATTATTGCTCGTCATGTGTGAATTGCATGTACATATTTATAACTGATTTACATACTAGTATATATTACCCGATGCAGAATAAATATAATCTGTTTGTGTGAGTTAGAACATAGTAAACATTTTCATTTCTTTATAATTGATTGAATTACTACATAGTTGACAGGGTTTGTTCGGAAATAATTCAATTCAATTTAATTCAATTACAGTAAACTACGGTTATAACGAACACGCTTATAACGAACTGATGGATATAACGAACTTACTTTTTTGGTCCCGACTATTTGCTGTTGTTATGCAGTATATATACTTATAACGAACTACGGTTATAACGAACTGAAATTAGTAGTCCCTTTGCGTTCGTTATAACCGTACTTTACTGTAATGTATTACCAATACTGCAAATGCATTTATATATCAAAGCATAAAGCTTAAGATACCATCGAGTGTCGTAAACGAGAATGTATGTCATTAAATCTCATCTTTCCCATTTCTGACAGAAGGTAGTTCGTTAACGAAAATAAGGCTACTGTAACATAAGTTTCCCAAACTATGAAAAAGAAAGTTTAAAGATAACAGCAAATTGATTTTTTTTAAGGTTTCCATTTCCTATAACATCTTTAAGGAAGTAGAAAGTGAGATGCGAAGTAGAGCTTTCGAGTTTTCCATCTTTCCAAAACGATGCACTGAAGTTTGAAGTTCGAAGCGATGTTGAGCTTTCAACTTTCCATCTGAAATCAATAATTGCGGATGTGAGAAGTAGGAAGCGTGTAGAGCTTTCAAGCTATTCATCTTTTAAAAGAATATATATCAGTGAAATGTTTTGTTTATGTCGACATAAAGGGACATTTGACTCTGGAAAGTGGAAGCCAGACCTCTTATAAGCTCTTACCCTACAATCTTGTGGAGATTATCTCTCTGATTGTCAGTCTGAATCATTATGCATCGATTTAGACATGGAACAGATGAGGCGGTTTGATTGGTATTTTTCTTTCTAGTTCAGGTGGGGAAGGTAATGGCAGTTAGACCATTACAGACACACACACACACACACACACACACACCCACACACGCACACGCACCAAGTATATGTTAAATTTCTTGCCATTAAACGTTTTTTTCATGGAGCTTTGGAATCCAGTACATAATTGAAATGTACATCTCTTTTCATTGGTTGGTTGGTTTGTTGTTTAACGCCGCACTCAGCAATATTCCAGCTATATGACGGCGGTCTGTAAATAATCGAGTCTGGACCAGACAATCCAGTGATTAATGTAATGTGCATCGATCCACGCAATTGGGACCGATGCCATGCATCAACCAAGTCAGCGAGCCTGACCACCCGATCCCGTTAGTCGCCTTTAACGGCAAGCATGGGTTGCTGAAGACCTATTCTATCCCGGAACTTCACGGGCCAAACATCTCTTTTGATTTTAGAATCAAACCAAATGTCGATAGCACGGATGCATGGTTTTGGTCAGATTTCTTTATCAGTTAACAAACTGGCCATACATATTGCATTATGTGATGTCACTTATTCTCCGTTCTCTGATCGATACCAACTGCGTGGATCGATGCTCATGATATCAATCACTGGATTGTCTGGTCCAGACTCGATTATTTACAGACCGCCGTCATAGAGCTGGAATGTTGCGGAGCGCGGCGTTAAACAACACACACACAAACAAATTCTTATTGGGTAAGTCTTGGCATAGGCTTCCACAGCATCCATCATTTTAAAAGTTGTAACCCCAACTGGCTGTTCACGATGTTGTGGGCCATGTTTAAACAGCTGTCTGGAGAATGAATGGAGAGGTCACCGTTGATTACACGACCAACAGGTTCGTAGCAGTGTGATGAGTCTTATAGGACACTTTTGAACGATTGCCGATAAGATAACCAACCCCAAGGATGAATCAAGTCACCATATTCCATTTGTTTTTTTATTCAAGTCAATATCTTGCATAGTATACATAAAAATGTTGCACAAACAATAACAGAATTATAATCCAAATTAAAAATGTCATTTGAAGTGAAAGCGTACACTCACTTGACAAGTATACACTTGGGAAAAAATAAACATAACTTCCTGTATTCGCCAATATAAAGTAAAATTTTAGAAAATCGTACCCTTTTTATACAGAAGTCGCTATATGGCTGAAATAATCAAACACGGAAACCAATATCCAATAAAAGGTTCCATGGAAAAATTGGTAATTGTTTCTTGGTAATGGTAATTTCTGTATTCCACTTGTTTCCTCCGCTCCCTTCCATTGCATGATGTGAGTGAGGGTAGTTTTACGCCGCTTGCAGTAATATTCCAGCAATATCACGGCGGTGTGTGTGTGTGTGTGTGTCCCCATCACGTGATGTGAACCAGCACTTGCATTCATTTAGAATAACACAGATTGTTTCTTTACATATGTACCATCAGGTAGTGTGAGTATCGTAGGTATTTTCTGAAATGACATCAATCTCATTTGTAAATGTTTCTACAAGTTTCTTGCTTAATTTCTTTCCAGGTTTATAAAAGATATTATGATGGTTGATTAAGTAGTAAACGGGTGACCCGCTTGTTTGGTTCTCCCTTGGTCGTGTCATGTTGGTCGAAGGTTCGAATCCATATCTTTACCGACTGTAAGAATCTTTCCTATGCTGCTGGTTCAACAAACGTCCTCCCACATAAATCTAACACGCCATGATATATAATGTATACTGTTCAAAGCAGCATAAAACACATTTTAACGATGTCATTGATGGTAGAGAATAATGTTAGCATTAATGAGTTTTTTTACGGTTTCCCAGGTGTAAAAACCGTTTCTTTACTCAATCTGGGGAGAGTATCAAATGACAGGTATATGAAGTGATTCTCAAAATTTTTTTTAATTTTTTTTTTTTATGAACAACTAAACACGTATCTGTCCCCGTCGATATTGAAATGACAAATGATATAAATTATCTCAACAGACAAGCGGAGTAAAGAACATAAAACTATAGCACCCAAGAAACTCCCGTCAGAGCTACAGTAAAATCTTGAAACAATATAGCGACATTAATGTCACGTGATGAGTTTGAGCTCTTTCGCGGTTTTAGGAATTCAGAATTTTCACAAAAATGTTATGAAAATATTTATTTCTTATCTGGAAATGTCATGGTATATAGTGTCACACATAACCCAATGTCTCACCACCACTTTCATACCGATTGCAAAAATATGCACAATTGCAACGATGTATAAGTTATAAATGGAATTGAATGCAACATATACATGTACAATACTATGAATCATTAACATATCTTGAATTTAAAGACAACCCCATTGTTGTCAAACGAGTATTTTGGCACGACATCACGTGACAATTGTTCCCATTTCCCATCATCCTCTAGTTCCTGCATCAGTGGCTCTAGTCTGTCTTTGTACTCCCCCACGTGAGACAAGTATTCCTCCCTCATCACGATGCAGATAAGACCCCCTGTAAAACAAAAGTAGAAGAAAAGGTAGTTAACAGGATTTTCAACAATAGGTCAGTTTTGTGTGTTTGTTATTTCTTGTTAACTCCGCAGTCACCAATAGTCCAGCTATATGGTAGCAGTCTGTAAATAATAGAGTCCGGACCAGACAAACCCGTGACTGACATAATGAGCATTGATCGACGCAATTAGGATACTACCTGTGAAGATCCGGGTTAGAACACGTCTTCATGCTTGCCGCAAAAGGCGACTAACGGGATTAATTGCGTAGATCGATTCTCATGATGTCAATCACTGGATTGTCTGGTCCAGACTAGAGTTTTTACAGACCAGCATCATAAAGCTGGAATATTTCTGAGTGTGGCGTTATAAAACAAACAAGCATTAAATTGGGATACCATGAAAAAAATATGTTATCGAAATAAAAAATTACACTTACATAAGTTTGTCCCTCCAACTCAAGTAAATAACGACCCGTGAAGATCCGGGGTAGAATAGGTCTTCACCAACCCATGCTTGCCGTAAAAGGCGACTATGCTTGTCGTAAGAGGCGACTAACGGGATCGGGTGGTCAGACTCGCTGACTTGGTTGTTGCATGTCATCGTATCCCAATTGCACGGATCGATGCGCATGGTGTCAATCACTGGATTGTCTGGTCCAGATTCGGTTATTTACAGACCGCCGTCATGTAGCTTGAATATTGCTGAGTGCGGCGTTAAACAACAAACCAACAAAGTGAATAACAGTCAGTGTCGGGAATGCATACATAAGTACTGGCAGGGGAGCATAGCTCACCTGGTTTGGTTATTCTGACGAGTTCGTGCAAGCCGTCACATGGAATGTGCCCTTCTCCCATCCCCCCTGACGTGACACAGCAATCGTACGTGTCTGCAACAGAATACATAGCGTGGTCAGAAATATTACGTCGACCAAAACAAGGCAAACTAATGGTTGACAGCATGAGCACCAAGGCACGACGCCAAGCACGACAACCGCCATTTTCAGAAATTGACCGCTTGGTTACATTCTTTCCGTCATGATGCAGAACGCAAGGTCAAACTCGGCATATTGCTGAGTGCGGCGTTAAACAACAAACCAACCAACCATTGTTCGAATTAGCGCCAGGTGCTGAGATCGTATCCCGCTTGTGACGGGGTTGTTATTCAGCCTTGGGACTAACCATGTTGCCGTAACAGGCGTCTATGCTTGTCGTAAAAGGCGACTAAAGGGATCGGGTGGTCAGGACTGCTGATTCTCATGATGTCAATCACTGGATTGTCTTGTCCAGACCGCCGTCATATAGCTGGAATACTGCTGAGTGCAGCGTTAAACAACACACCAAAAAATAAACAAACAAACAATGTTTACAGGTCTTCAGTACATTCACCCTGTGCACTCAAAAAGAACCCACTCGTCCGATGGTAGACGACCAGATGGTGGAAACAGAATACGTACATACACCCGAAACACAAGTGTCAAAACGTGTGGTGTACCCCTGGGCAAGTGACTTAGTTCAAATGTGCCTCTATACACCTAGCAGGGAATGGGTACTCGATATGTGAGATGGATGTAAAATCCCTCTAGTGCCGCTTGGACTGAATACTCCCCAGGGAGTTGAGAATGATTACTGGAATGCAAACGGATCCACTGGTCGGAGAACAAATAAAAAACCGCATTTGAGCAGATACTAGTACCTGGATACCCGCGGTATATTATTATTATTATTATTATTATTATTATTATTTAATATTAAATTAAAACCAGAGCGACGTCAGAAGATGTTCCTCACCGTCCTCTATGGGGAGACGTTTGTCGTCCAGGAACTCACAGTACAGGTTGGTGTAGACGTTCTTCTTCCTGGCTTGTTCCAGCATCCCTGCGGCTGGTTCTAGAGCATCTACAGACTTAAAGCCCCGCGTCTGAAGCTGGAACAAAAGCCGAGGGTAGCGTTAAAGGGTGGCTACGAAAGGGAAAATGAGTACTCCTAGCAAGTTTCATTAAAATCATTCAATGATCAGTTTAATGGACGGCTAAGTGAACGTTGGAGTTGTCGATAAATGTGACATACATTCATCAGCATTATTACACAGAGACAACGTCTCATTCCACACAAGACACTATTCACAATGCCGAGATACTGTCAACAGGCCTAGGCCATGAAGTGAGTGAGTGAGTATGGTTTTACATCGCTTTTAACAATAGGCGTGACAAGCGAACGCTTTAACCACCAGGCTACCTTTAAGTTCTCTTTATGTAGTTTATTGTTTTCTAAAATGTTTGAGATCTGATGTCTCAAATAGTCAACTTCCCCCCCTGGGGCGAGTTGCTGAAGCCCTTTCTCAACATTGGCTATGAATGTATCATAGTTTGGGCGAGAGGGCAACAATTATCCTTCCAGCCTAGTTGAACAAACAATCAACAGCATCTTCAGCCCCAGAGAGCGGCCTCCACGACAACAGACAGCCCCGTTTGTCATCAGTCTTCCCTACATAGGAACAGCCAGCCACGAGATCCGCAGACTGCTCAAACACCACGCCAACATTGATACAGTATTCCAGAGAGGCAGGACAATCCAGAACATCCTCAGTGCCAATGGCAAGCCCCCTACATCAAAGAAAGAAGACCCAGCTGGAGCCGTATATCACATACAATGTGACTGTGGCGACTCCTATGTAGGTGAAACATCCAGGCCCCCACCCATTAGAATTAAAGAACACAAGACCTCAGTACAAAAAATTGACTCAAAATCAGCCATCTCCAAACACTCCCAAACCCACCCCGATCACAACATCCAGTGGAACAACATCAAGGTCCTGGCCAACAATCAGACTACAAAGTCAGAAAACTCCTAGAAGCCATCTACATCAAAAGGATCCATCCAGCAATGAACAGAGACCAAGGCTACTACATCCCGCCTGCTTACCATCACCTAATTGCTAAATCCCTATGCCCATCCAATTAAATGCACTGGCTTCCAATCATCTCTATCAGTCTGCTTGCTGACTCTGTGTCCATTAGACAATTCACTGGCTTCCAATCATCACTATCAGCTTCCGTGGTTGTTTACATTAGTCATTTACTGGCTTCCAATCATCTTAATCAGCTCTCTGTGTCCATCAATCAATTTACTGTATAAACATTGATGTTAATAAGTATATATACCTATGTTGTTCAGCACTTAAACAAATAACCTTCTTGTGGATACCCGCCCACGTAGGAATATACGGTAATGAAAACGCCGATAAAGCAGCTAAACTATCCCTCAAAATCCCAGAAATAAGCTTAAACTTACCCATCTCAAAATCAGAAATTAAAAGTGTAAACAAGCAAAAAATCACACAAAAATGGCATAACCTATATCTCAACTCAAATAGCCAAATCAAAAAAGTGCTCAGCAAACCACTAACCAAACCAAAAATTCTCCATCCATCCAAAAAAATCGACAGAGTAATCACTAAACTCCAAACAGGACACACCAACCTAAATAACCACCTAAAAAAATTAAAAAACACACTACAGGTAACTGCCCACACTGCAAACAACCAGAAACCCCAGAACACGCACTCATCCACTGCACACACTACCTAACACATCGAACCGCATTACAAACCACCCTCAATCTAAACAAGGCTCTAACTCTAGAAGCAATCCTAAACCCACAAAATAAAATAGAAAACTTCAAGGCCTTAGGCGTATTCTTAATAAAAACGGAACTAATAAAACGCATCTAAAAACACAATAACCTACCAAATCAAAATCACATAAACAAACCATACCCAGCTCCCTTAGTTCTCCTCCCCAATCCCGTCGGCATCTATTCCAAATCTCAAAATTCCCAAATTCTATATAAGCAACCCCTAAAACCCCCCTCTTGGGTTGTACAGACCACTTTCGCCCCTTTCGGAAACACATTAAATGGCCTGGCCGGTCCCGTGTGCGAAATACGCATCAGTCGGAAAGCGCACGTTAAATCTCCAAAGTAAGTAAGTAAGTAAGTAAGCACTATCCATCACTTGCTTGATAAAGGTGTTAGGATCTACACCGAAACGTCGCACTAATTGTAATAAAGAAGTTGTTCATCCATAGAACTTGTCTTTCTTCTGTCTATATCTGCTACCCGTAACTTAAGAAATTCAATTATCGGATGACATCCTCGATTATCAAGTGTATTATATCTATTAGGATAAATACCCTGGACCTATTCGCTACCATAATCTTCGTTTTGAGCCACATTCGCGCGTGGCTCTCTATTCCACCGCTGCCACCAGCCACAGCTCTCCATTGTGCTTGGCGGCCACAAGCATGCACTGACCGTTATGTTTACAAACAAGTGATGACTAACGCACGTGACACCGAATAATCTTCACCCATCTTAACTATTTTCTTTCTTTGTCAATTTAAATTTCTATTTCATTTTAACCGTCATGTAATTGGTATAGTAAGAATGAAAGGGGATGTTTTCTGTGTATCAATCTCGATTCAATCTGATTAAATTATCATACATAACTTCATCTGGCAAATAGTTATTAAAATAATTCCAAATGCATCAACAACAACATAAATATCACCACCCTACCTGTTCGCCAACGTATCCTGTTCCTGCCGCAACGTCTAATATTTTTGTCGATGCTCTGTTGTCCTGGAAATGGTTTGCCAGGAAAGTGGCAGCAAAGATTGGTCCCTTGTAACGTTCTAAACTTAAGTCCTGAAATACCAAGTATACCAAATGTATGAGCAGACATTCGTGGTTTTGTGATGATTAATCCTCTATTAAAAAATTCGAACTCTGTTGTATCGATATATCCTTTAAGACGATGTACAATGTAATTTAATCGGTTTGTTGCGGAAAACAATTTATGTATTCAATAATCTTGACAAGCTTGGATAAAGGTGAGTGAGTAAGTTTGGTTTTACGCCGCTTTTAGTAATATTCCAGCAATATCACGGCAGGGGACACCAGAAATGGGCTTCACACATTGTACTCATGTCGGGAATCGAACCCGGGTCTTCAGCGTGACGAGCGAATGCTTTAACTTGGATAAAGGAGTGTCAGTGTACATGCGTTTGAATAATAAAACTTAGTGCAAAACGAGTTAGACAATAGTTTTATTGGGCAAATTAAATAGATTTGTGTCGGTCTATATTTCTTGTTTGTATGTAACATTTGTGGAGGAGAGGAGCGGTCGGGTAGCCTAGTGGTTAAAGCGTTCGCTCGTCACGCCGAAGACCCGGGTTCGATTCCCGACATGGGTACAATGTGTGAAGCCCATTTCTGGTGTCCCCCGTCGTGATATTGCTGGAATATTGCTAAAAGCGGCGTAAAACCACACTTACTCACTCACTGTGGAGGAGAACATAAGAGTATTTAAAACTTTCACGAATAAGCCGTCAGTTACGAGTAACTTCAAACATATCCCTAGTTTCTTAAACTAAAAACACATCCCAACTTTTCAACTTTGGCAAGACATTCTTTTGTGCAAAGTATTTTAACATAAACCAGAACTCTTTGTAGTCCGTATTAATACGGCGTGAGTCGCCCTAGCGTGCACGATATTTTAAAAGCATGGTACCAGGCCCGTTGTTATTTAATGTAGCCCTAAACTAGTATATTATCAATCGCTTGTATATTTCACTACACACTGAAGGGGTGAATAGGAAATCTAGAACTCAAATTAAGGAATTTGTTTAACCTGTGACTTTCTTATTTTTTCTCATCAAAGGGTTGACTTATTTCTTTAGTGTGAACATTGTAATACGTAAAACACATTACACATCTTATTAGCTTAGTCTTATTAGTATATGAAAATTTGAAAAACTATTAGTTAAATTTCACAACGTTCCGAGGTCGCCGAGGTCAACAATCACAGGTCCGCAAATTAAAGAATTGGGATGCAAACCCCACTGGCGACACTCTGAATCTGAAATCGGTCATTCCACGGTCAAAATAAATAATAGTCTATTGTTGAGTTTAATCTTCAAGGAAAGATATTAAGATATAAGGAAACATTGAGTAATAATCTATTATGTGGCTTATTAGAAGCGCGGGATCAATGACATTTGATCCATTTGATTTTCAAGGGGGGGGTGGGGGGTGGGGGGTGGATAAGAGAATCTATTATCACTATTTACAACTAATATATATACTGAACAACATCCAACAATCTATTCATTTTCACTGTTAACACACACATTTGGACGGTTGGGTACTTTCCACAAAACAAACTGCATGTGTATTTGTTCTTTCACCACTACCTAATAAACTATTCATTTTGGGCAAGCAACTCATTTAAAAAAAAAATCCCCTCCCCTACGGAAGTTACATATACATGTTGAAATCGAGCGCACTCTGACCCATGGGCCCATGATCAGGTGGTCAGGCTCGCTGACTTGGTTGATGAAGGTCATCGATCCCAATTGCGCGGATCGATGCTCATGATGTCAATCACTGGATTGTCTGGTCAAGACTCGATTATTTACAGACCGCCGTCATATAGCTGGAATATTGCTGAGTGTGGTGTGAAACAACAAACCAACCAACCAACCTAATTCATTTTAATAGAATTATAAATCAGCTATTGTGGTCAGAATTTGTCGCTTTCAATCAATAAAATATTTCAGACTATCTAAGACGACACATTTCTACATTACGTTTGGAAACAAAGTCCTCAGTAACAAATGTTATATTTGGGATAGCACTTTCTTAGTAAAGCACAGATTCTAGAACGTTTTGGGGTTGAGTTCCATCCGGGATTCAAACCACTCAGCCACCGAGGCTTTCCTAAAATGAAAGTCCGACAACTGGCAGTCTAGAACACGTACTTTGTGTACCCCTCTGACACGTGTCAGTGTTATGTTGGTGATATGGCAAAAGAGGGTTGGTGATATGGTGATATGGCAAAGGAGGGTTGGTGATATGGTTGGTGAGGGGCAGAAGAGGGTTGGTGATATGGTTGGTGAGGGGCAAAGGAGGGTTGGTGATATGGTTGGTGAGGGACAAAAGAGGGTTGGTGATATGGTTGGTGAGGGGCAAAGGAGGGTTGGTGATATGGTTGGTGAGGGACAAAAGAGGGTTGGTGATATGGTTGGTGAGGGACAAAAGAGGGTTGGTGATATGGTTGGTGAGGGACAAAAAAGGGTTGGGGATATGGTTGGTGAGGGACAAAAGAGGGTTGGTGATATGGTTGGTGAGGGGCAAAGGAGGGTTGGTGATATGGTTGGTGGGGGGCCAAAGAGGGTTGGTGATATGGTTGGTGAGGGGCAAAAGAGGGTTGGTGATATGGTTGGTGAGGGGCAAAGGAGGGTTGGTGATATGGTTGGTGAGGGACAAAAGAGGGTTGGTGATATGGTTGGTGAGGGACAAAAAAGGGTTGGGGATATGGTTGGTGGGGGACAAAAGAGGGTTGGTGATATGGTTGGTGATATGGCAAAGGAGGGTTGGTGATATGGTTGGTGAGGGACAAAAGAGGGTTGGTGATATGGTTGGTGAGGGACAAAAGAGGGTTGTGATATGGTTGGTGAGGGACAAAAGAGGGTTGGTGATATGGTGATATGGCAAAAGAGGGTTGGTGATATGGTTGGTGAGGGACAAAAGAGGGTTGGTGATATGGTGATATGGCAAAGGAGGGTTGGTGATATGGTTGGTGAGGGACAAAAGAGGGTTGGTGATATGGTTGGTGAGGGACAAAAGAGGGTTGGTGATATGGTGATATGGCAAAAGAGGGTTGGTGATATGGTTGGTGAGGGACAAAGGAGGGTTGGTGATATGGTTGGTGAGGGGCAAAAGAGGGTTGGTGATATGGTGATATGGCAAAGGAGGGTTGGTGATATGGTTGGTGGGGGACAAAAGAGGGTTGGTGATATGGTGATATGGCAAAAGAGGGTTGGTGATATGGTTGGTGAGGGACAAAAGAGGGTTGGTGATATGGTGATATGGCAAAGGAGGGTTGGTGATATGGTTGGTGAGGGACAAAAGAGGGTTGGTGATATGGTTGGTGGGGGACAAAAGAGGGTTGGTGATATGGTTGGTGAGGGACAAAAGAGGGTCGGTGATATGGTTGGTGAGGGACAAAAGAGGGTTGGTGATATGGTTGGTGAGGGACAAAAGAGGGTTGTGATATGGTTGGTGAGGGACAAAAGAGGGTTGGTGATATGGTTGGTGATATGGCAAAGGAGGGTTGGTGATATGGTTGGTGAGGGGCAAAGGAGGGTTGGTGATATGGTTGGTGAGGGACAAAAGAGGGTTGGTGATATGGTGATATGGCAAAAGAGGGTTGGTGATATGGTTGGTGAGGGACAAAAGAGGGTTGGTGATATGGTTGGTGATATGGCAAAGGAGGGTTGGTGATATGGTTGGTGAGGGGCAAAGGAGGGTTGGTGATATGGTTGGTGGGGGACAAAAGAGGGTTGGTGATATGGTGATATGGCAAAGGAGGGTTGGTGATATGGTTGGTGAGGGGCAAAAGAGGGTTGGTGATATGGTTGGTGAGGGGCAAAGGAGGGTTGGTGATATGGTTGGTGAGGGACAAAGGAGGGTTGGTGATATGGTTGGTGAGGGACAAAAGAGGGTTGGTGATATGGTTGGTGAGGGGCAAAGGAGGGTTGGTGATATGGTTGGTGAGGGACAAAAGAGGGTTGGTGATATGGTTGGTGGGGGACAAAAGAGGGTTGGTGATATGGTTGGTGGGGGACAAAAGAGGGTTGGTGATATGGTTGGTGAGGGGCAAAGGAGGGTTGGTGATATGGTTGGTGGGGGACAAAAGAGGGTTGGTGATATGGTTGGTGAGGGGCAAAAGAGGGTTGGTGATATGGTGATATGGCAAAAGAGGGTTGGTGATATGGTTGGTGAGGGACAAAAGAGGGTTGGTGATATGGTGATATGGCAAAGGAGGGTTGGTGATATGGTTGGTGGGGGACAAAAGAGGGTTGGTGATATGGTGATATGGCAAAGGAGGGTTGGTGATATGGTGATATGGCAAAGGAGGGTTGGTGATATGGTTGGTGGGGGACAAAAGAGGGTTGGTGATATGGTTGGTGGGGGACAAAAGGGGGTTGGTGATATGGTTGGTGGGGGACAAAAGAGGGTTGGTGATATGGTGATATGGCAAAAGAGGGTTGGTGATATGGTGATAACGCAAAAGAGGGTTGGTGATATGGTTGGTGAGGGGCAAAAGAAACTATACCGAGTTGTTGTTTTTTATGTAATTTGAAATTGAAAGAACTGTTGTTAAATTTGATTATGTCTATTTAACCACCACTCGATCCTGCAACACTATGTAAAATGTAATCTGTGGCTGGGTAGTTTTGTGTGAATGTAGATTGGTTCAGTGAGACTGGGGTAAGCACTGAATTTGCAACAACATGACCCCTACCATGTTTGAAATATCGTAAATGTCTGCCCAAAGAAGCAAGTCCCGTGAAGATAAGGGGTAGAATAGGTCTTCAGCAGCCCATGCTTGCCGTAAAAGGCGACTAACGGGATCGGGCAGTCAGGCTCGTTGACTTGGTTGATGCATGTCATCGTATCCCAATTGCGTGGATCGATGCTCATAATGTCTGGCACTGGATTGTCTGGTACAGACCGCCGTCATATAGCTGGAATATTGCTGAGTGCGGCGTTAAACAACAAACAAACAAACAAACAAACAAACAAAACTACGATAGTTATAGATTATAGGTGTGATTTACATGAAAAATTATTTTAGGTGGATAATAATACTGAAACTTGGGAAGATAGCGAATTACACATACTTGTTCATATTTGCCGTCCTCTGCCCATCTGGAGTAATACTCCACCGATTCCTGCATGGAGATCCCAACACGATGAGCGCCATAGTTAGCAGAGTAGGCCCCGGAGTCGACAGCAGTACTGTCCTCGATGAAGCTTTTTGCTTTCTCTTCTGCCATTTCTGAAACAAGACTGTTAAGCCTATTCAAACTGATATATTACCACTATCATCGTCCATCACCTATCGACCGCCGCCGTGGTCTAGTGGTAGAGCGTCCGCCCGGAGAGCGGAAGGTCCGGGGTTCGATCCCCGACCGCGACATACCAAAAGACGTTAAAAGATGGTACTTGTTGTTACCCTGTCTGGCGCTCGGCATTAAGGGGCTAAAACAAGGACTGGTCGGCTCGGAGTCAGTATTCTGTGTCTGAGTGGGGTAATCATGTTAAACTGCGGCATGGTATCTCAGTGAGCTAGCTATAAATCGGCATCGGTCCGGACTAGTACAAGCAGCCACACAAACACACACGCACATGCACGTCGCTATATATGTGCAATAATCTTGGACGCGACGTTAAACCCCATATCACCTCACCTCACCTCCATCACCTATCACAACTACTGTTGACATCTATAAATCCTGCCGGGGTCCATGCAGGAAGCAAAGGTACTGTAAGTCCCCATGGACCCTAGCATGGTGATCTATCTTCAGTTGCTGGCGATCTCTAGCCAATTTTTATATTGTGTTCTCTGATATTTATGACTTTTATATATTCTCAACTAGTTTTAAATAGATTCTGTGATATTCTAGTTATTGTACTGTCCTTCGTTGACAGCTTTTTATATTGTATAAATATATGTATTATTAATGTACTTCTCGTCACGATATGGCTGAAATATTGACGATGTGACGTTAAATATTAACTCACTTAACTCACACACTCTTCCCGAGGCAAGGGCTTTCACTGAGTATAAAAGTCCAGTTTCCACCCTTCCCGTACTACATTTTGGCTAGTCTATGCATAGTCGATGTAGACATCCGGTTCGTAAACAACATGGATTTTAAAGTGCAGATTTCGGTAGACTGCCGGATTTGCAGAACATATGTACCCACAACGGGCCGCGGAGAGATATTTTGCAAAATTTTTGATGTTTTTAATCACGATGCTCAAGTGATTTGATGCACTTCGCTGGGTAAGACCCGTATATTACAATATAGATCTTGATTATCGATCATATCGTCTTCATAGGGCGCCGCCATTTTGTTTGAAGCAAGTGATATGAGAGATGGAGTCTGATTGGTCAATAAGAAGGACATAGAAGGGACATAATTTGTAATAGCCATTGGTGGCGCTACGATCGAGCCTGGAAATTCCAGCCTGTTTCGGCAAGTGTGGAAACTGGACTTTTACAGTCAGTTAACGCCCTTGCCTCGGGAAGATGGCTATGATCTGCTAATCAATTCTGACAAGGAGTATGTCTGAATGGTAGACAACGGGCATAATTGGCGACATTTGTGTCATCAAATTGGCTACAATAAACAGTAGTGTGGGCGTTCAAGTCCATGTGTCCAGCGCTGGGCAATACAACAGAAGAGCGAAAGTTAGCAACTTTAGGAGGTGCTTAGCAGTGCTTAGAGGCAAAATAAAAATGACGGCCAAAAACACGATAGAGCAAGACAACAAATTGGACTGAATCTCTCTCTCTCTCTCTCTCTCTCTCTCTCTCTCTCTCTCTCTCTCTCTCTCTCTCGCTCTCTCTCTCTCTCTCTCTCTCTCAAGATGAAGTTGCCAATGTTCCAAGCAAGTGAGGCTTTCTCATATATATTCATACATCTGTACCTGGTTCAGCTATATGTTTGCATAAGCAGTGCGTGTGTGCAGCTGCAGCGGACGGTAGCGCACTGTTGTGCAGACGCTTTTCCCAGCTTTTCCCAGCGCCATGGCATAAATAACGCCACCCAGGGGTCAGTGGAGCACCAGCGCAGAATACCCACTTTTTAAAATCACCCGCATCCCCATCAAAATAATATACACAAGTAATTTCCACTCCACCCAACACATACATTGCAAAATAGTAACATGAACACAATTTCAAACTTTAATTTATGAAAATAGTCCAGATCTATACAGATTCTCATGCTGATATGAATGACAACAGGCGCTGACTATCAGATGTGTAGCAGGCGATTATTTTCAAGGGAATATCATTTGATTTTGGGCATAGAATATATTATATCACATCAGGCATTCATTTATTCATGAGTGATGTTTATATATCTCGGCAATGCCATTAAGTAACGTTTCTAAATGAAGGAAATGGTAGCAATATTCATAGTAGAAATATATGCATAGTAAATACAAAACACACATGTATTCTCTAGATACAAAGAATGTAATTCTAACAATGTAATTTCACGGACCTATAGAACGTTATACTAGTCCGCCAATAGACTAACATCTAGTCTCTGAAATGAACATATCGTACATAAAAAAACAGTTGTTCAGTTATCTTAATAAAAATATAATAAAAAGGAGCCCAGTGACTCTCTTCATTTTCAGATACTGCAGTGATCTAAACTTGCCAAACATTATAGACTTGCATGGGCTGTATTTGATATATATTTGTATCAGGGTCTGTAAGACAGACTAGTCCGCCAATTGCCGTGTTGCCAACATACAGCTATTCTATGAGGAAGCAATCTACCACAACCCTGCCTCTCATAGATGGGATAAAATGTGCGTCTCGGTCACTGGTTCTGGGCAAACTCACAAAGTAAGAACGGGGCCAGGCTTTCATCACTGGACAGACTTGTACCCAGGCTGTGACCTCGTCACCCGATAAGGTAACTGGTGTTGTCTATTGTTCCCTGACTTCAAAGTAGCGAGCAAGTCGGTCCCATTGAAACCCTATATTACCCCTGGTGAAATGTGATCCACGAGGCTCCTCCATCTTGCTTATATGGCTTTTGTAAAGTGTGAGTTACACTTTTCAACGTGAACAGCTTGTATTAAGAACAGCAGTCGGAAATTGTTTTAACGTATTTTTTTAATGCTTTGAAATTCACAAATACTCATAACTGCTATAACGTGGAAACATGCTGTAGTAACAGTGCTATAAACTTTGTTTTGTTTGTTTGTTGTTAAACGCAGCAATCAGCAATATTCCAGCAATCTCAAGCTGCATAGATGACATCAGATGCTGGATGAGAAGCAACTTTCTCAAACTTAATGATGACAAAACTGAGCTCTTGATCATCAGCTTTAAACAGATGCAGTCCAAAGTACGATTTCCTGGTTTGAAAATTGGGGACTGTACGGTTGAGCAAAACTCTTGTGCCCGAAATCTAGGCGTGATCATTGACTCAACACTCAGTCTGGATAACCATGTAAGCAGTATGTGCAAGACAGCTTACTGTCACATCAGGAACATCAGACAGATAGCAAGATACGTAGACACAGCATCAGTCAAGTGCCTAGTCCATGCATTTGTAACATCAAGACTTGACTATTGTAATAGTCTCCTGTATGGTATCCAGCAGCAGCATCTGCATAGACTACAGCGTGTGCAAAACACTGCTGCCAGACTCATCCCACGGAAGTCAATGCGTGAACACATTACACCCGTCCTGAAAGAGCTGCACTGGCTACCTGTGAGACTCAGGATCGTGTTCAAGCTGATCATGTTTGTCTACAAATCGATCCATGGGCTATCCCCAGTATACCTCCAGGAACTCACTGCCCTTTACCAACCTGGCCGAACACTGAGATCTGCAAACAAACTACAGCTTGCTGTTCCACCAACCAGCAGAACAACATATGGCGACAGAACCTTCCGAAAAGCAGGTGCAACTCTATGGAATGCACTGCCCATTGATGTCAGGGGATCTGAAGATGTCAACACCTTTAGATCAAAACTCAAGACCATCCTCTTCAAAAGAGCATACGACTGAACGCTCTTGAGCAGGCAGTATGTCTGGATAAGTAGCGCTATATAAATGCGTAATTTAATTAGTAATTTAATTTATATGACGGCGGTCTGTAAATAATCCAGTGTGGACCAGACAATCCAGTGATTGACATCATGAGCATCGATCTTGTTTGTTTATTTGTTGATTAACGCCGCACTCAGCAATATGCAAGTTATATTACGGCGGTCTGTAAATAATCGAGTCTGGACCAGACAATCCAGTGATTGACATCAATTGGGATACGATGACATACATCAACCAAGTCAGCGAGCCTGACCCCCCGATCCCGTTAGTCGCTTCTTTCTCCATGCATGGATTGCAGAAGACCAATTCTAATCCTGATCTCCAAAGGAAGTTACAAACTTTAATAAATTGGGCGAGGTGAGGTTAAAATGGTATGTTTCCTAAAAAACACATTTCAGAAGTAATTCGTTTTCCAGTCAGAATTGTTAGAGCTACATCGTAGTGACCTGTAAATAATCACACAAACAAGTGGTTGATAGACAGTGCAACGATCCTTGTCCACAGACCAGCCGCACCCGTTACCATGGGTTACAGCCGGGAACTTATTATGTCCCGGTATCTCGGAAACACCCGAGTGGAATCCGAGGCATAAGAGGTCCCAAGAAGCCCGACCTTTTGCTACAAGCCGAGTTTAGCAGGGATCGGGTCGCCATAATGTGTGGCCTTGACGAGTATATTTAAACGCGCCTCGACGGCGTGGATCGTTGCCCATGCTGTCAACCAGTGGTTTGTCTGACCAGGGTCCACGTGCACAAAAGGATCTTAGCGCTACAAATATTGTAAATCCTCAAGATCGCGATCTTTACTACTAGCCGTCTTACAACCGCACAAAGATCGGATTGTGCAAGTGAAAAAGGACAATTGTATGGTGATTGTTGGGGTCTAAAATCGATTATAACTAAGATTGCCCTGATAGCCATTATACAGCTCAGTGTTTGAAATAGCCGCTCGCCCGCTAGCCAAATGCTAGTGACTTTTAAATTGGGCGAGTAACATTTCCGTAAAGCTGTCTAGTTCAAAATTCTAATCAATACGTATTTATTTCTACGAATCATTTAGTCAGTTAAGGCATGATGTGATGTCAAAGTCTGTTGCCATTTTGTTTTCGTTTCTTAGTTTATCGGAAACCCACGTGAAGTCGTAACTCGGTGTTTGCTGTTCACTGATTTTATACAAACGTCAGACAAACGTCAGACAAAC